GAGTCATCAGTAATTTATTTTTTGGTTAGTGTAGATTTCAGAGTATTGAAGGAATTTACGTCAGGGGTTAGTTTGGAGTAAGTGTTGAATTTCTTGCTTCTATTAGGGAGATGACGGCTGAGCGGTAAAGTCCATGAACACTGGTAGTTCGGTCCGAGGTTCGAATCCCGCCAATAGACTGGCTGCCTGGGCGTTTTCGTGTTTTCCCCCATGTGTAACGTGTTAGTACGAGCCATTTTCCCTTAGAAAGTCCTCCACGAAGGTATCCTTCCCTTCCGTGTAGTGCCTTAGGGCGGAACACGTAAACAATAATAATAAATATTAAGGGGGTGAAATATACATTTGTTCGAGGTGGCTAAGTGATCTGATTTCTCCTAATGCATGTAGGTTTGCCATCTATCAAGAGCTTACGGGTGCAGAAACGATGATTTTGGACATAGCATAAACAGCGTGGACGATTGTTACAACATATCTATCCATGCCCGTTTTCTTGATTTTAATAGTGAAAAAAGCAAAAATTTTCATGATAGCCTTTTTTTCATCATTTTTGAATTCGACAAAAAAAGAAGGGAGATTAATAAAATCAATGTTGATCTTTTTGATGAATTGTTTCAGCTTAACGACCAAGTAGTCTTTGTCAATAAGCTCTCTACCGATAGAAATTGGACCTTCGCTAGCCGCAAGTCTATCGATGACAACTTTTAATGGGAGATTGTTCCTTGGTCCGAAAGGTGAAGAACTAAGTCCCAGTTTTTAATAGATCACTCAGTGCTCTTTCTCTAGCATTAATAGCACTCTCCTGATAGTCCGAAAGAGTCGGCCACCTGTTGGCTAGCCCTCCGTCTATCCAGCAAGTACTAATCCGGAAGAACCTCCGGTGCTAGCACTCTGTGTATCACTTTATCTCAATCTTTTAGGTACAAACGCGGCCGGCTCCGTGTTACGCATCACAACCTATCCGGTCCTATTTTAAAGCGTTTTATCTTCTGCCGGGTCCTTGAGGGATCAGGATATATTCAGAGTCGTACATGGAGGTAGGAAAGGGAGGAGGGGCCATTCCGCGCTAGAAGTGAAGCACTGCTTTGAAGCTTGGGTCACCAAACGGGGTGTTTCTTTGTTTACATTCAGAAGCTCGCTTGACAAGATTCTGATAGTATTTCGACACACGACAGTTCCATAGAAATCGAAAAAGGGACACTCTCGCATGAAAGAAACATTCATAGTGTGATGCATAATAGCAATTTGTATAGTTTACTGACGCAAAAATCACATCTTGGTCATTTTTCGATAACTAACAACAGCGATTTTGATTATGAATTTGTTTCATAAAATTCTAAGCTGTTGCACTACAAAAATATAGATTTTAAGAAAAATGTTATGCTTAAAGAATGAAAAATACCTTACGGTACATTTAAAATTCTATACGTCTTTCGATACCCTTGATAGAGTATTCGACTTTTATTTTATTTTCCAAACGTCAAAATGTTTTAAATAAAACAAATTTTTTTCACATCCATATATTATTGTAACATTTACCTTTTAAAAATTTTTAGAGAAGAGGCTTTACTGCTGCTCATTTTAAACCCATCGTTTTAATTTTATATATCTGAAAAATAATCACTTTGGGCTTACACGTTTTACTTATTTGGGTTAATTAAAAATAAAATTATCATCAAATGTTACAATCCTCGTCAAAATTATATGTATGGGTATTTATGCATGTGCTTGCAAAAAGCATGTATCTGCCTTTGACAAAATACTTAAATATTCATTAAATTATTTATAAATGTATTTGAAATGAAGAATTTATTCACTTATAAACAACTGTGAAAGTACTGTGAAGAAATCTAATGATTAAATGTATCTAATTTATAATGATTATAAATGTTATCTAAATATATAATAACCTTAATATTGAGTTGTAAACATAAATTGAAATCCTGTTGACAAATATGTTATAAAACTATTTAAGCAAGAATTGTTCGTATTAGAAAGCAATCTGTTAAAAGGTATTGTAAAGCAAATGCTATGAGATGCGCACTTAAGAACGTAATAAAGAGTTTTGGAATATGTATTGTTGAAATGAAGGGTAAAAAAAAAAAATCTGATAAGTATAATTAATAAGAATTATTCGCCTTACATTTTATAATAACTCAGTTACAAGTTTTAAATAATACTTAAAAAAAAAATTATTTTATTCCCTTTCAGAAATGTTCAGAGAAAGTCAAATACTATTTAATACCTATTTAATTATTAGGAATTAGCAAAATACTTATTTAAAGTATTTCGCTAATTCCTAATAATTCTCTAATTTAAAATGAACCGAATAGAGCATTAATTATAAATTGACTTACATTTTCGATTTAAAAGATGCCTCAGAAGCCAAAAAATCATGTCATATTTAAGAAAGTATTTTAGGAAGAAGCTCTATAAATAGAAAAGAAATAATGCATAATTTTAATATTAATAATGCAATAAACTTTGATCTTAATTTTTGTACCTTAACCGAATAAAATCGAATTAACTTAATTTTTTTTTCTAATGTAATTAACGAAAACTTATGAAAATATTTCATTGAAATTAAACCATGTGAAATATTAACCTGTCCTGTGAAAAGTATAGCATTTAATTCCGTTCAGAATGAAATGTTGTTTAAAAATATGTTGTTTTCACATACTTAGGACTCTGAAGTGTTGTAGAAAAAGAAAATATATACATTTATATGTATATTTTGCGACGTAATTACAAATATATTACACCCGAACGCGTCAAATCCCATAGAACTCAATGGTAAATGACCCAATGTTTTTGGTCACCACGTAGGGATCGCCGGTGCTTCAGAGCAGGGTACGGAGAAACTTGTTTAGGGCGACTCCTTCTTACTTCCTACCTCCATGGAGTCGTAGCTAGGGTTTTCAGCGCCCAGGGACAACTGAAGATTTCGCGCCCCCTACTGCTTGCCAAGGATGGAAAACATTTAATTCTAAAATGTCGTAACATCGCTAATGTCATTTTCGAAGTGGAGAGACCTTATGTCCTTCCTCGTAACTTGGGGACAAGGCAGACGATAGGAGGCATGGGGGATTTTTCTAACAGAATTAGGCATTGACGAATTACAGTTATGAATTAGTTGAAACTGAACCAGATAATTTAGCATAACTGGAAGGTAAAGTCATCCTGAGGGGTGCTTTCATTCAGAAGAATAATCCTCAGAAGATGATTCATCATCTGAATTCTCGTCAGTGACAGTGGGAAAGCATTCTCCATCCATTGCTGCATAAGGCATGGTTTTTCCATATGTGTGAGAGTTCAAATAATGCATTACGATTATTTATCGTATAAATTTACGTCAGTGTCTTTCATATGAACAAGCATCGTGCAAACGAAATAATTTAAAGATCAGTCCTCATAAAGAATCAGAGCGTCAATCAAATATGTCCGTCGCATAGCCACGGTGACCTGAGAATGGAATTTAAATAAATAATGATAAATTTTTTAGATACTTCCTTTATTTCCTTTGATACTTTATACTACGCTAGACTAGATGGCACCAATAATGAATTAATACCAGGGCTTAATTTCTAAAATTAGAAGTGCCGGAGCCCTATGGAAGACCGTCAGCAAAGAGGAACGAAAGTAAATAAATAAATAAAATGACTATTAAAATCATTAATGGATTTTAAATTAAATGGTTAATTATTAGCAAATTAATGAATAATAATTTAATTAATATTAATAATTTATATTTACCAATTATTAATTAATTAATATTGTTTAATTAATTGCTATTTATTTACATGATTAACGTAATTAAATGATTATAATTAAATAAAATATAAAAAGATAAACTAAAATTTAATAAGCGATTTTTAATATAATTTCATTGCAAAAAATAAAATTTTCGAGATCAAATTTCTACTGAAATTGTTGTTCAGTTATATAAAGAAGTGTCGGAGCCTTTTTATCTAGGGTTCCGGCGCGCTCCGCCTAGAATTATGATTTATCTAAAAAACTATGAAGTACCTGGCTCCGACGCAATTTCAGCTCTGATTAATACTGAATCATCGGGGAAAGCACGATATATACAGCTCTAAAGTACTGCCGATAATCGGCTTGTGACTTTGGTCTTTTCTTACAGTAAAAAATCCACGAGAGGGGATCAGTGGTGACAGAGGAAAGATGCGATGGCAACTTATATGCATATCGCTGGAGCTATAACGCGAAAATGTAATTTTGCCAGCTCAGTAACAAAATGAGCCCTGAGACAAGTGACATTTAGAAAGTTCCGCGTGTAGTTATGATTAAGGAGAGAGAAATCGGAGACATGGAGCCATGATATTCTCGGATAACTTCTCTTTGTATTTTTCCGAAATTATAAATTTTATGTCGACCCATAGAGGGCGCTTTCCAAAGATGATAATTTACCCGGTAAAACAAACTTCAACTGATACGCCGTGCAATGGCAGTAAATATTATAATTCGATATTGAAACGTTTTTCTTTGAAGTATTGAAGGGAATTACAAGAACAGATAATAAAAGAACGAGGTAAATTTTTATCGATTCTCTGTTACATCGACTAGCTTAGATAATTTAATCAAATCCTGAACAGAAAGACGGTCTGTGAGGAAGAAAAAGAGAAATTTACATTTTATTATTGGGGGAAGGGAACTGAAATTTGCACTACAAGTATTTGACTAAGGTGATAAAAAATATAAGTTTTAACAAATGTATATACCCCCCCCCCCCGAAGAATTTTTTTTTTTTTTTTTTTTTTTTTTTAAAGAATGAAACTGTGACGATGTCGCTTTCATTCCATCAAATTTAAAATTTCATTATTAATATTCGTACGAGGTGGAGGGGGGACATCTGGATTTTTTTTCCTACTTTTATTTTAACTCCTGTGTCTTTGTACATTTGCATCTTGATTCTTCTGTTGCCATAAAGCATTTTAAATAAGAAAGGCTTATACCTTTTATCTTGATTTTCTTTTCTTTTTTAGGTATGGAAGTGAATTATCACTTGTTGAAAACTTTTGGCAAAACAATTACACCCAAAGTCTTGCTTCTTCCAACCTGAAAGATGTAGGTCACAAAGCCTACTGGTTAGGTATGATTTGATTTCTGTATTTTTTAATAATCAGTTTGCAAAAAATATAAGTTTTCTTTGTAAAGTGAAGTATGCAAAATTTATTTGATATTATTTATGTTGGCTTCTGCATTTAAATTAGTTACTTGTAAGACATTTTTAATAGACAAGCAAACATTTATTAAAAGATAAATCATGCTCATAACTTAATAGGCCTTCGTGTAACTTATTCTTAAACATACATATCAGAGCTTAAATTGCACTGGTGCTTCTTAGTTTTTGGCATAAATCATCTTTCTAGCCAGCATGCACCAGAGCCCTAAATAAGAAGGCTCCAGCACTTCTTTAATGTAACTGAGCAACAATTTCCACAGAAATCTGAACTTGAAAATATTCATTTTAATGATAAAATTATAATAAAAATCGATTTTGATTTCTGAGTGCATGCTTCCCTTTCCTTGTGAAACAAATCCTTGTATGGAGGTAGAGACTTTTAAGGAAAGAGAAGCTCCCACCTGTATGTCAAAGGTTTATTCTCCAGAAATACAACGAATTTATGACAGTAGGTAAATTTTTATTTTTAACGCTAGTGTCTTCCCATTAAAAAGATCACCTGTAGACTTTTTGGAATAATGTAGCCAAAGACGGGGGATTAAAATTGTCATTTGCTACTTTTTAGCTAACCTTCATATTCGGTGAAAATTTGTTCCCCTGTCATATTCAGCTTGACAACTAGAATTATGTTGAGAGGAGCTAGTGGTCAGAAACTGTTGGAGTCTTCTCATTTTGTTTTCATACTTATAAATCGACTGTTAAAATGTTTACCACATTCTCTTACTGTTTATAGCATTCTCTATATTTTCATTAACGACACTTTAACCATTTTCATGTTTTTTATTGGTGTGCTGAAAAAAGAATGGTCTTTATTTCTATCATCCCTTGAAGTAGTACATTATATTCAGATAATTATATTCATATATATACATATATTAATAATATATGTAGTACATTATATTCAGTTAAATGAAACTGGAGCGCCCTGTTGAGCTATTTCTTATTTTTTGTGTGAAATTATAGTTCTAGCCGAAACCCCAAATCAAGTCCCCAAAAAGTCAAGGTCCAATACTTTATTTTAATGTTTAATTATTTACCATTTATTTAATAACTTATTATATTTTTGTCTCTTTACATTTTATTAAATGTTAATATTAGTTATTTAATTATTCTAATCATTAATTATTTAATTTTAATAATTAATTATTTAACTATTTAATTATTAATTATTTTATTAGCCATTTTATTTATTTATTTTTGCTATTGTTTACTGACAGTCTTCCATAGGGCTCCAGAACTTCTAATTTTAGAAATTAAGCCCTGGTACATATCATAACAGACATTCTTATTGCATCATACATGACTATATTTTTTAAAATGTAAAGAGAATGACAACCAGAAGAGCTGTTGACATTTGTCGATAGATATTCTGTCTAATAACAGTAAATAATTTACAGTCATGTACGTTACACAGTTTGTTATGTACTGTGTTTCATTACATTATGTACATTACATTAATTGCATTCTTTAAATCCTTCGTTAAGTACATTATATACTGTTTTAGATAAAGTAGCTGTATTTAAAAAGTATTGTGTAATTTGCACTGTAAGTATTATAAAAATAAAATTGAGTTAAAAAATAGATAAGATTATATCAAATTTAATCAAATCTAAGTAAAATTTAATCAAATCTAAAGTTTTTTTTCACCCTTACCAGTTTTAAATTTCTTATTAGTAAGTGTCTCTTTCACATGTCTTATTGCAGGTTTCAGACTTTATAACACATCTAAAGTTAACCATTTATTCTTGCTTTTAACTTCTTTGAAGAATGTTTGAAAATATAAAATGATTAGCTTTCTTACCTTGCATAAAAAATTTCTTATCCTACATTTTGTTTTCCAAATTTTTTTCAAAAAAATATCACTATGTTCAGTATAGTATTTTACAAAAGAATGTAACATAAACGTTATAACTTTGTATGTAATTAGAATTTAAATGGATTCATTTATATATTTTTTGCAAATAATAATGCAGTTTTTTTATTCTTTTAAATAATAATGCAGTTTTTATTCTTTTAAATGTTTTTAATTGCAATTATTTTAATTAGCTTTTATTGAGAAATAATTCAAATATTTTATTAATTGATAATGCAATAATTTTTGTTCATAATTTTTTATTTTCTGGCATACCATACTGAAAGTATCGGTTCTCGTCCATTCACCTGTTTATCATGGAGAAAGCATTAGAAATCTTTTTATGAACAACTTTAAAGCAATGAATTATTGCATAAAAATAGTGCTTGTATCAAAATTTCTTACCTGACTCAAATTTCAGATAAAGTTAAGCAGAATATTTCAGTGACCGGCACAAGAAAATAATAAAAATAATTGTTATTCCTATTTTAAATTATGTTTCCAGTGTTCGTTATTTGAAGTGCCCATAGATTATAATGATAAAACATGTAATCAGTGGGAAGTTTTGAAAATTTTAACAAAAGGCTTACTTTTTACCTTTTAAAAATAAAATATTAAATTAAAATTAAATGTTTTATTTTGCTAATTCATGGTTGCTTTAATCATGAAGCACCTTTATTCTTTACGAAAACGGGAAACACAAATAATAGTGCATTAACAAAAAAACATTTTAAGGTTAAAAAGAATTTAAAAAATGACAAAATATTACAGAAATTACATAAAATGATGAGTAAATTGAATTGTGTGGCATAATTTATGCTAGAAATTCATTCAGCTTCACTTTGAACAATAATGATTTCCATAATGACATTACTTTCTTTATATTATTAAGAATTTTGTTTCTGTTATTAGGTCCAAATTCAGAAATGTATGTATACATGTATGTAAGCACATACATAATACATCTTGACATTATTTAATCTGATATTTAACTACAGAACTTCACCCTGTTGTCTTGATATTACACAATTTAATATCCAGTAATAAATTCATTGAAAGTTGATGGTGTTTTCTAGCACCTAATTTAAATTTTATATTATCTGTGTCATGTTTAACTGACTTATAGAGAAGAGAAACACTAATATAAATCAAAGTATGATTATAACAGGAAAGATGTGTTTTTCTTAGGAAAAATAAGTAAGCAAAGAAGAACAACGTGACTCACAAATTACAGACAAATTTTATAAATGGCTCATGTGAACTCCTTTTAAGCTTACCACTGAATGTGATTATGAATTGAATTATTAACAAAATTTTTATAATTGCATAATAGTGTACAATACTCATGTAAATTGTATATACTGTAATTTTGTAGTTTATGTAATTCTGAAACTTCTCCCTCTCGTTCTTGTTTTTCTTTTCTTTTCTTTTCTTTTTTTTTTTTTTTCTTCTTCTTTAAATCCTTTTAACATGAGTACTAGAAATATAATAGTACTATGAAAGACATTTTACATCTTCAATAGGTTTAAAACTTTACTGAAACATGTTTTTCCTAATGTTTAGATATATTCTTCCTGAACATTTTATTGCCACTAAATCGTGCAATTCACTGCATCCATAATATTAAATTTTATTTTACTGTCACCAACTTATTCATTTCACTATCAGTATTTTCCTTCCATCTGCTTTTTGTTTAGAAATTGAAAATTTCAAATTTTGTTTTTTGGTTTTGTTAATTCTCTTCACTTTATTTTGACTTATGGTTCTGTTTATATAGTTAAATATAACTTAAGGTTCAGTTTGAATTCCTTTAATTATTTTATCCGATATTTTTTCAGCTTTTATTTTAGCATCTGTTATTATTTTTAAATTTTTTTTTAAGTAAAATTACCTTTTGGTCCGTTATTTCAAAATCTTAAAATAATCAGAGAAGAAATATTTGAACTATAATTTTCCTTTTAGGCTTGACAACTGTAGATGACCTCTCAACAAATACATTAGAGTCAGCTGGTGGTTCTTTCATATCATTGTACATGGGCTTTTGGGCCACAGACCAACCTAGGCCTCAAGATGGCAGTTGTGTGCAAGCTATTGTTGACACTTCTGCTCAATATTGGAAGCTTACAACATGTGAAACACTATTACCTTTTATGTGCCAAATGGAAGCTTGCCCTAGAGGTACAATTTGTCAAACATTTGCTTGTTTGTTTGTTTATTTGCTAATATTATTTATTAATTAATAATTTTCAGAAAATATATTTGTTTGTAGAAGTAATTATGCATTGATGCTAAGTTGTATAAAAAATTTGAATTAATGTATAGAAGAATTAATCTGATAATCTAATTAATTAAAAATTAATAAGAATGTATATAAGAATTAATTTTGTATAATAACAAATAAAAAAGAATTAAATATTTTATCATATTTTCAATGAATATTAAATTTTGTATCATTTACAGATTTATTTTTCAAGTATTTTAACCTGAAATATACGTTTTTAGGTTCATTTTTCTGTAGCAATGGTAAATGTGTCAATAGCAAATGGAAATGTGATGGACAAGATGACTGTGGAGACAGGTCTGATGAAATGGATTGTCCCAGTTAGTATATTTATGTGCTGAAAGAAAAGTTCTCTTCTATAGTTCTTATTTAGTTTTCATACTAAAATGAAAATAATTAACTAAAAATTTTTAAAAAAATTAATGCATGTATTTTGGGTGGCTGAATATAAATGTATAATGTATAGCAGAAGAAAATCAATCAGTATTTACAGGGATCATGAAATATCATGAAATTCATTATTTTAGAAGTGGCATTGGTAGGGGAGGAAAAGGGCTAATTCTATAGTTTGTAAGTGGTAAAAACCATTACTGAAGTGACGTAATATGAAAATGTTTTTTGTATGTATTTTGATTATTAAAATTACTCATTTTATGTATTTATTCATTTAATTATAATTATTAAGCTTTTTCTTCTTACTACAAAAATAGTGTTTTTTTATAATAAATAATGAGCACAGTGTAAACAAAATCAGTACTTTCTAATTATCTGAGCCTCCACTGAAAAGTCACAAATTTGTTACTGACTTTTGAAAGCATTTGTGAGCTCACAAGAGCAGTCAATCAATAAAATTTAAAAAACCAGAAACATCGGTCGCTAAACACTTACCTTTTTTAAGAAATTCTTTTTTGTGCCATTATTCTTTTCATCTGCTCAGCAATCTGCTTCCTTTTAAATGAACATCAGAGAATTGTACAAACTCGGCATCATACAATTTTGGCACTGTGCATCAGCCAAAACAGACATGTGCTATGTGTATCTGAATTTTTTTTATGTGCCATTCTTCCCATATGCACAATGACTTGCTTTTCCTTAAGAAAACATTAGAAAATTGCAGAAACTCAACATTATACAATTTAATTCATTGTGTTATCATTGTCATTTTATCACCAAAATAAACTATGCTATGTGTACACCTGGGTTGTCACATAAATACTTTTGGTAACATATTGTTTTGCCTCACAAATACTTTTTTGAAATTTTTCAGTGGGTTGCAGGTAATTAGAAAACCATAAAATTATTAACCTGCAATTGAATTTGAAACTTATGTAATTTCTTTTGAATAGACATTGGATCTACAATATTTATTACTTTTGATACACAAAATTCTGAATTTAAATGCTATGAATTTCAGTAAATGCATTAATGAAATTTGCTTACTAAAACCAAATTTTTGTCATACATTATTTCACACTGCTGCAATTTTAAAAGCAGATGCTACTGTTTTCGAAATGTATTATTTTAGATTTTTTAATTTTTTAATAAGCTTATTAGAGTTTTTAGAGTTTTCTTATCTGTAAGTTGACTAAGAGTAGTTATTGCAATCCATTACTGATCACTGTATATGAAGACTTTCATTCCACACTAAGCTTTCAGAATATTAAAAGTAAAAAAGAATTGAAAGCATAAAATGATTTCACATACTATTCAATTTTATTTCATTATTACTCTACATTCAATTCCCAATTTACTTGGTCCATATTAACTTGGTTGCGGCTTATTCAGGGGCTCCACTAAAAAAAAAAAAAAAAAAAAAAAGAAAGAAAGAAAGAAAGAAAGAAAGAAAAAAATAGTGCTCTGGTGGAAAAAATATTATCCCAAGAATCATCAGCAGACATTGAATTATGAAATTTTAGTTGACTACTTTTCAGGCTTATTCCCCCTTCTGCTTTTCCTCTCTCTAACATGTTTTTAACAACCTGACTGCAGTTACAAACCCCTTCCTATGTCCTGTACCCCCTCTTTATTTATCCTTCCTTATAGCTGATAATAGACATTCTTTTAATTTGGGGGATACAATAATTGAAGAATTCTGGTTGGCGAATATTGTTTTTACTTTTACTGAAACACTTTACTTTTATTTACTTTCACTTTTTACTTTTGCTGATTCTGCCGTATTATGTAAATTGATCGAATAAGGTCTTCTGATATCTGTTAAAACTTTTCTGATTTTTTTTTTTTTTTTTTATTTTGTATTTTGTCTACGAGAGTGCTGCTGTATTCCAGAAAGTGAAATCCTAAATGCTAGTTAAATCTTGGAGAAAATTCTTCTGGACTTGGAAAAACATGGAAGTTTTTTAGTTTTTGATACAGACACAGAGGCATCACCAGCTTATCTTGCTCAGATTGTGAACAGTGGGCCTGGTGGGGAACATGTGGACGAAGAAAACATTTCTGAATGGCTGGAGTGTGACTGCAACTTGCTTTCATTCGAAACCTGCACAGATGAGCAAATTGTTAGTCATGCAAGGTGGGAAGAAGTATCAAGGGACAGTGAAGGGGAGGAAAGTGAAGATGGAGCGTAGTCTACTGATGATAAGGTTATGTACAAAACTGCTCTTTCTCAAGTGCCTTCTCGACTACTTGAAAAGGCAAGAAGGTAGTCTGCTGACTGACAAAATGACACTGCACAAGATAAGATTATTGATCTTAAAAAAAAAAAAGCCAACTGAGCAAGGAAACAGGAAGTTCTGACTGACTTTCTTTTACACAAATTTCAACTGTCAGAGGAATGTGGTTTTCGTTTTTTACTGTAATTTTTGTTTTGTTGATGAAACTTTATTAAACCCCGGTTCCTAAAAATACTGTACAAGTAAATTGCCTTGTAGCATTTTTCTTTTCATATATTACAATTATTTATCTCAACTTACTGGCTTTGAATTAAACATGATTTTGAGTTAACCGTGCATATACTACCCTATATATGGTAAATCGGAAGTTGACTGTTAATGTAAATATCTTTTCATTAATTTTCTTGTCTTTTTGCATAGAAAAGGATTCAAATTTTTGTGTATTAATATTTTTAGTTTTAATCTTCTTTAACTTTTTTATAGTAATAGATATTTGTCTAACATTTTTATGTGTTGCTTCCATACTTTAGTACTTTATATTAATGAATCATTGTTTTTTAATTTTTTTCCTCCCGTAGATTTGTGTCGTTATCATTTTAAAAGTTCAGGTGACTCTATACAATCACCTAACTATCCCAATAAATATGAACCCAGTTCAGACTGTAAGTGGACGTTAGAAGGAGCTGTTGGAACTGGAATTGTCTTACAGGTAAGGTTTTTAAAATAAATAATCTTTAATTGATTTTGATAATTTTTCTGTTGTAAAAAATATTACTAATTTAGGTTTAAAAAGATACTATATTAATTTTTTTTCTTCTTTTCCCTCTCTCTCTCTTCAGCATTTTTCTTTTCTCTTTTAACCTGATTTAACTAAATTATCAGAGATTCTGCAGACTGTTGCATATTAGGTCATGAAATTGTTAGATTGTTAATATCTGTAATTTTTAGTAATGTTTTAAAGGCTAAAAATATCATCTTGCTTTGAAATAATGGGCTAATTATTTGAAGGTATTTTATTTTTCTTCTTCCCCTCCTAGTTCTCTGATTTTGAAACTGAAGTGAACTTTGATACTGTTCAAATATTGGCTGGGGGACGAACAGAAGAATCTGGAGTAAATTTGGTAACATTATCTGGCCTTCAGGATTTGGGAGTGAAAACATTTACTACTGCATCTAATTTGATGATCGTAAAATTCCGTTCTGATGCTTCTGTTGAGAAAAAAGGTTTCAGAGCCAGCTGGAAAACAGGTATGTCTTTTCAGCAGAAAACAAATATATCTATAAATCTCATTCATTATAATGCATGGCAAAATAAACCGTAGTACTGAAGTTGGACACAATCCATCTTCAGTACTACGGTTTACCGTAAACCTTCATCGGTTTGCCTTCCACCACACTTTAAATCATGTCATCCGACTAAACAAAAGCTAGCTTCATTTTATTCCTATGTTTTCCGTGCTCTTCAAGTTTGCTCATCCAAACTAGCCCTTTGATGAAGAACTAAATTATTTAAAAGCAATAGCTATTGACAGGGCTTTCACCCAACATTATTAATCAAGCAGTTAAAAAATTCTCATCTCAAACACACTAAAAGGCACACTCTTGTTTTAGGAGATTATAAAAATTCTGTTGTCATTCCCTTCTTTCCATCAATTAGCTACAAAGTTGCACATATTTTGCAGAAATTTAACTTTCGGGTAGTTTATTCTCCAATCGATAAAATTCCAAGTTCCATACTCAAGGACCCCATTCCGGATATGAATTCCTGGGGTATTTATAGGATTCCTTGCCAGTGTGGTTTAATTTACATTGGCCAAACAAAGAGAGCCTTAAAATTTCACGTCAAGGAACATGAAGCATATGTTAGAAAAAAGGAAACACAGAAGTCTTCTGTTGCTCAACATTGTTGGTCCGAAAATCACACTTTCAATTTCTCTGCTGCCAAAATTATTCAAAAAACATCTTCGATTCTAGAGGCATTTCACATTCATAAAAATCTTTCTGTTCTAGTTAACGATCCTAATTTCAATCCAAATTTGCCTTCGGCCTTTAAAGAAATTATGTTTTAGTTCTGGTTTCACCAACAGATGGCGCCACTTGCTTATTCTTGTCCAGGCTTTCTTATCTTATCTAATCATTATTTCCTATCTTGTTCATTTGCGGTTTTGCAGCTGAAGATGGTGGTTCGGTAAAACCATCGAAACTAGTCCTGTGAAAATTTTGTAAATAACGCTGATTTTTGTTGTGTGACTTCTGAATTAATAAGCATACACAAGTTGTGGACATATAAAAAAAAGAAAAAGAAAAAATGGCTTGTCATTTATTTTCCACATTGCACAGCCATTGTGTATCCGTTTCCCCATAATTTGCACTTTTCTTGGTGCCACAGTCCCATAAATTAAAAAAAAAACTCTACTGCATCTTGTTCTATTGAATATAAGTCCCAAACTTAATTTTTGTTTGTTTCAAAATACAAAAACAGATAAACAGCAGTTAACTTATATAATTTTTTACAAAAATTAAATCGACTAATTGAGAATTAATTTGATGGATGTAAAGCTAAAACGTTACATCACATATATTCATTATTAGTGCTAAATCGTGCTGTTTCCTGACAGTTTTTGATTCATTCAAGTCATAGTCTTATTGATACTTTATAAAAGGGGTTATAACTCACTTATTTTTCTAAGTTTAAAAAAAAAATCGAAAATATTTTGGTTCAGCTTTTCGGATAGTCGAGCATTTACTGTAATTATTTTAACAATTGAAATGAACTATGAACTTATTGAAAGCCTAATGTTCTAAAATTTATTTTTAAAATTTTTTAGTTCTCAGTGGTTGTAATAATTTTCAGTTCTCTTTTTTCTTTTCACCTTTTTTTTAAGTTAAAGCATTTTATATATACGAGGGCCATCCAGGAAGTAGATTACGTTTCCGTCTGTGTCCGCTAGGGGCGGGGCTAGCGCGGCCATCTTGGGGTCAGAGCGTTGCGCAGCTCAGTCTGCATCTAGCCGTGCTAGTGAGAGGTTCGTGCTGTGCTCCGTTCAGATACTGTGACGGTTTGAAATGTCTGCGTTAATTGAAAATCCCGCGAGCTGCGAGGTGCGCTCAGTAATAAGGTTTCTGACTGCAAAAAACTGTAAAAAACCGATAGAAATCTATCGGCAGCTTCGTGAAGTGTATGGGGACAACATTATCACTGAAGGTGGAGTGCGTCAGTGGGTCATAAGATTTCAAAATGGCCGAACCAATGTTCACGACGAAGATCGAAGTGGGAGACCCAGCATAGTGACCGCCGAACTTTCTCGAAAAAGTCGATGCTAAAGTCCGTGAAAATCGAAATTTCACAATAACGGAACTTTCTTTGGTTTTCCACAAATTTCGCGAAGTTTGTTGCACGAAATCATCAGCGAAAAGCTTGGTTACCACAAGTTTTGTGCATAATGGAAGGCAAGAAGAGGTAACGAAGTGGTTGAAGGCGCAGGCGGCCGAATTTTTCGACGAAGGAATTTCCAAGCTCGTACATCGCTACGATAAATGCCTTAATTTGTATGGTGACTATGTAGAAAAGTAGTATTTGAGTGTGGCTTTCATCTGTATATAATAAAATTTGTTTCCTATACTTTGTTTATTTTTTTATTCCAAAACGTAATCTACTTTCTGGATAGCCCTCGTATATATATATTCTATTATTCGTAGAAAGCTAATTTGAAGCAAATTTAAATTAAAATTATTAAATTATGAAAATTAATTGTATACAAATAAAAAATTATTACTGCAAACTAATTTGCAATATCATTCAAATCCAGAGAGCATATGTAAATTAAGTGCAGGTACGTAAAACCATGAAAAAATATTTTATATTCCTAAAAATCGTTATTTTAAAAATTTTTAAGAATTTTTTCAGACTAAAATAATTTGCATAAAGTGAATAATTGTTGAACAGGCAAGATTTGGGCCTTTCCTGCTCCACGAACTAAATTGCAGGAGACGGTTCTTTTCAAGGTGAAGTTGCCTCCAAATCTAACTCTTGAATTACTCAATTCATGTTTTGTCATCCATATAGGCATGGGTATAGTAATATTCAAAACCAAATGTAATGAATTTCTTAAAAAAGAAATTTTAACTATTAAAGAATTTCGAGAAATGTTATAAGCAAATCGACTAGGAAACAAAATTATTAATTAAAAGTGAATTACTAATGTAATTAAGAGATATCCAAAGTAATTTAGAAACCCTTGCCTATTGGAAACTTCCCCACATGAATTATGCATTAAACCAAAATAAACTAAATAATAAACTAAATACAATCTATAAAAATAATAAAATAATGCTAAAAAGGCAAGTAAATAAGTTTTAATTTACTATTTATTCTTATGAAACAATTATATATACAGTCTAAAGTCTTTAATCCGGACTCATCGGGACTTCGGCGATTCCGGATTATAGATAGATCATCAGTTTAAATCTGGAAAGATGGCATGCAGAAATTATAAAATTAAAAATATGAAACCGTAATTTATAAAATAATGAGCAATTCTGATCTAAAGGGTATCAAAATTTACAAAAAAAAGAAGCTTAATATTTATTTGTTTACTTTTCTTTCAACGCGCGCATGCATAAAGCATACCTTACGCATAGCCGAAATTAGAAAATTGCAACCAGAAAACTATTTAATTTGTATTCGTGATATTTATAATGACAAGGAATTTGATTTAAATCATATCAAAGACGGAGTACATCGAGATTAAATACTACATTTAGTAAGGAATTATAAGCTGAATAAAATAAAAACATCTGCCCTGAAGATAACGATAGTGCTGACAGATCAACTTCCGGTTCATTGCGTGCCTCGACCCTCCCCCCCCCTCTGCGCAGAGCAGCGTGAAATTGATAAACAGATTTCGGAACGGTTAGATAAACAAAGGATATGCCTTTATCCATTTTTTGTTTGATGGATATTGAAACATACTTTCGTTTTCTAGATCCTTTGGGAGCTCCAGCATCAGAAATTCTATTTGACATAATCGAAAGTTCAAGCTTACTTTTATGAAATTGTTCTTACAGTCTGCAAAAAATAATAAGCCGGATCCAATTCAAAGATTAAGGAACAACGCAATCATCAACATTAGCTGAAATAGATAATTAGATAATTTTAGCTTATACCATCCGTTATACATTAAACGCGCACGCAAAAACGTATTCTGTGCTTCCGCAGACGCATATGCACAGTCGTAAATGTCTTACGCGCACTCGTAAAACGCCTATGCGCACTCGTAAAACGCCTATGCGCATGCGTCAACGCGGCGCATGCGCAGAAAGATTTTAGCTTTGAGGTCCGGATTATGGGTGTCCGAATTAACGACTTTTGACTGTATATATACATATATAAAATTTTGAATACTTATTATTATTGAAACCACCACAGAAGCTCTGTTTAGAATATGCCAAACTCTGGCAGCCATGCACACAACCATTCTTCAGGCAATCATTCTCATGACAATCTTTCGGTCAAGCAACATATCCATTTTCATAACTGAAGAGATATAGTATTTAGCCGCAAAATCACTAGAAGAAATGATGATGATATATGTCTAGTAGATAACCAGTGTGTGATGCAAAGTTTGTGCTATTTTCTGATGTTTTTTAAGTGAAAACATATGTTTTTCTTTTCAAGACTGATGTATATGTGTGGAGAAGAACAGCACACACACACATACACAAAAAAAGATTTTAAAAAAAAGTTTTATTTTTTTAATGTATCATATAATTCTTATTAATTGAAATTTGTATTTTAAATTGTTAAAGTGTATTTTCATTTGAAACGTTCATAATGTTTGCTAACTCATGATAAATATTAATAGTTTACAAAGACCTTTTAAAAAAAATGTTGCAAAAATGGCCAGCTTTAACCATTACATAACTTTTACCTTTTCATCTGCAAAATATCTCCAAATTGCACCAATGTTAATATGTAAATACTCGATTTTTCAGTGCTATATTGCTGATTTAATGAAATATGCTTTTCAGAAGTAATTAATAATTACAAACATTTTTGTATTTCTGATTTTTAAGTTTTTTTTATTTTTTTTATTTTCTGATTTTTTCTGGTTTTTAGTATATTGAGTAAGTATTATAAGATATGTTTTAGCAATGAATTTTTATTCATATTTTGATATCAAGTGTAACTCTTCTTTAACTCTTTTTTCACCCTGAAGCTAAAATTACTTCAGTTATTATGGATGAAAAAGTTCTTAATAAATTTATCTGGAATTTAACGTTCTTTAAGTGTATGCGTAATAAAAGTTTTTTATTTTAAATTTTTAATTGCAATTAATTTCAGTTTAATGATTGTTTGCCATTTTTAGAACCCATAAAATGTGGGGGAGAACTGCTAGCTATGCCTACTGCTCAGTTATTCAACTCTCCTCTGTACCCACAACCATACCCTGGAGGATTAGAATGTTTATACATAATATCTGCTCCATCAAGCAAAATAATTACTCTTGAGGTATGCTTTAAGGAGAATTTACTCATATTTTGAAAGAGATTATCAATAACTTTAATTTTCTGAAAAAATCTTATTATACCAAAGATACTGTATTTAGAATTTTAAATTTTAATGTAAGGGATTTATAACATTAATGAAATGTTTCAATGTGATTAACTTTTAATGTGATACTCTCAAATGTATCTTTGCGTGCAGAATTATTTTCACTTATAACAGTAACTTCTTTTATTCATCAATAACCTCAATTTTTGTATCAGTTCTGCCAACTTTTATTGCTTCCTCTTTTGTTCTGATTTGTAACATAGGATTATGTTCTTTCATAATGATCTGATGGGAAAGCAAAAATTAACATGTTATTTGAGGTGTGTGCGAATGCTCATATCTTTGAACCTACAAATGTTACAATTAATCTAAATACATTATTAGATAGGTGAAAGAGTACATTAGCAAACAAAAAACAATTTTTTTCATTTGGACAAAGGGTATATGCATAGTAATGTGTCAAAAATAGTGATTTTTTGGTGAAGTCAATGTTACTCAATGTTAAATAGACTTACTCCTGTATTCTTAGTTTCCTTGCAAAGCTTTAGTTTTTCAGATTTTCATGTTAAGTTGATACATAATTTCACTAAAATTATTTATACATATACAAAATTCATAATATTATTATCAATAGATGATCTAGAAATGATAGTCATCAATTTTTATTATAGAAATCTTTCCAGACTTAAAAATTTTCTTGGAAATTTCACTTCTTAAGTATGAAAGTTTATCTTAAGAACTTCATCTCTAAGTTTCATTATTAAGGTGAAGCCTTTTTTTTATATTTTTCTAATTTCTTACATTCAGATACCTGAGGATTCATTCTTATAGAATGTTCAAAACCTGTAGGTTTTCTCCCCGTCTTTCACATGTTTATTCTTATCATTTCTAAATGTTTTTAATATAAACTAAAAAGAGTTTAGAGTTTCTTTCATATTAATTTCAGTAATATATCTATCTCTTCTTTTTGAGATCATTAAATTATTTTAATCACAGGGATACATTTAAAAAAATTCCTTGTTATATGTATATACTTGTATTTTTCAAATTAGTCATAATTTCTCTTTCTCTTGTCCTTTATAATGCTTTCTGTATCTTTGCATAAAAATACATAAACAGTAAATTCATTCTCATTAACTGTTACACTATATTGATTTATTTTAACTAGTTCTAATATTAACAATAAATTTTGCTTATGTGAAATTCCCCGTCATGGCGCCCAATGAACTGGAAGTTGATCTGTCAGCACTATCCTTATCTTCAGGGCAGATGTTTTTATTTTATTCGGCTTATAATTCCTTACTAAATGAAGTATTTCATCTCGATGTACTCCAATGTGATTTAAATCAAATTCCTCGTCATTATAAATATCACGAATACACATCAAATAGTTTTCAGGTTGCAATTTTCTAATTTCGACTATGCGTAATGTATGCTTTATGCATGCTCGCATCGAAAGAAATGTTTAATAAAGTAAACAAATAAATATTAAGCTTTTTTTTAAAAATTTTGATACCCTTTAGATCATAATTGCTCTTTATTTCATAAATTACAGTTTCATATTTTTAATTTTATAATTTCTGCATGCCATCTTACCAGATTTAAACTGATCATCTATAATCCGGAAAAACCGATAATCCGGAATCGCCCAATGAGTCCAGATTAAAGACTTTTTACTGTATATATTAAATGTAATTTCCTTATTTTTATGTGATTGTATTTTTAGATTTTTTTAATTGTAGATGTTTCTTTAAAAGCAAATGTGTTTTTACAAAATAATCTATTTTAAACATCAATGTAAGAAGCATTGGTTGTTTTTTTGTTGTATTAATAACATGCTAATAGTAAGTAATACACAATTTTCCCCAGGTTCTTGATTTTGAATTTGAACCTGAAAAAGATTTCTTATTCATAAGAGATGGCACATCACCATCTGATCCACTGCTAGCCAAACTAACTGGGAGTGCTGAAAATAACCCAAAATTTATATTAAGCACAAGGAACAAAATATATATTTATATGCAAACAAGCTATGGCGATAGCAGAAAAGGCTTTTCTATTCGATTCCGTGCTGGTAAGTAACAGATATGCAGGATAAAATGTTTTTCTTCTTTATAATTAACATTATTTTCCTGGCACTATTTCTAGTTTAATTTTAAAATCTTCCTCTCTTTTTAATGTTAGAGAGAACATTAAATAAATATCCCTCTCTTTTTAATATTAATGAATGTTTATATATTGTGCAAAAATTGTAAGTCTGTAGTAAAGCCATGAGAAGGATTTATATTTTGTCTTTTAGTTTTGTTCATATTAATTTTTCAAAAATCTTGCATCAGGATTTTTTTTTTTTTTTTTTTTTCTGTATAAAATCTAAATCTTATCTTTAAATAGTTCTCCTTTTTCTTACAATAAATGGAAATTTTTCATCTTGAAGGCACTTTATAGCATGTACTATCAATTATTTACCATTATTTTCAAGTTTTTAACAATCTGTGGATAGCATAAACTTGTTTTAACTTGTAATTTGTAATAAAGAATATTTTAAACTCAGAAATGCTACGTCAATTTATTATACTTTGTTTACTGAAAGATTTTAATCCTCCGAGTGGCACAGCTTTTTGAATCTGCTTATGAAGACCTATATTTAAGAAGGATTTACTAACTAAATTTGTATAATTATTTGTATATTATTTTCTGTTTTCACAAATTTCCATTCATTAAGATGGTATTTGAAAAAAAAATGAGAAATTGAAATATTTTAAATTATAAGCTATTATGTACTAAGTGACAAAAAAATCTCATGAGTGAATAAAAGCAGTCATGCTACAGGGTTAAATACAAATTTGCTTTTGTTATTCACCTAATCATTTTTAAAATACTTATTAGGATGCCATGTTGAGCTTACATCAAATTCTGGCAATATTTCATCACCAGCATTTGGTGTTGTGGATTATCCATCTAATCAAGAGTGTAGTTACAGTATAGCTCGACCTGGAGGTGGACCATTGTCACTGAGATTTAATCGATTTGATGTAGCTGATGATGACTTTATACAAGTAAGATCTATTATTATTAAACATTTTCTAGACCATAAAATAGATAAATCTCAAGTTCGTGTAACCTATAAAGTAAAATATTAAAGCAGAAATAGTATGGAAAATCAAAATCCCATTATTATTATAATACTTTATTCTTGATGATGATATTTATTAATCATAAAAAAAAGAAAAAAAATGTTGGCCAATGATATTTTTTGGAAACTTATGTCTTAGTATTTTGTTTAATTATTAAAATAACTAATTAAATAAAAAATTGAAACTTATTTTAGGCATTAATATTCTAGCAATTTTAATGGAATTATTGATATATTTAGATAGTTTTATTGTTAATGCATTATTTGTTGGAATTAATGAATGTGTTAAATGTATGTTTGTTCAATTAAGTTCTCAACAATTAGTACTATTGCTATCTTTTGGGAGTGCATCACCAGCAACATGTTTTCAAAATAAATGAGGAGGGTAGTTAGTTTCGTGGTAATTGCTATTATACACGAGTGATGGATAATTTTGATATGCAGTACTTTCTGAGTCAAAGCCCATATAAAGTTTTAGCATATTGACAATCAAAATTATAATGTAATAATGTTACTATATATTAGAATATTTCATTCTGATACATTTCTAAATGTGAAGAATAAAAAAATGCACGAACATTTTTATGCTGTAAAACATAATAGGTCTTCAAATCGAATGTAATCCACCAGAATCAAACATTAAATCTAAAATATCAAATACAATTGATTATTATGTTGTAGAAAATAATAATCAATAATACTTTTGTAAGCTGTGAAGGTCATCAGTGGCTGAATGGATCAAGCCATGAAACTTGGTATAGCTTTATAGCTGAAGAGACTGGCTCTATCTAGCGGTTTTCATCTTTTCTCCTACATATAATGGAGATATCAAACAGTTGCCTTAAAAAAATCTCTACAAAGGCATTTCTTCCTTTAGACAGATGCTTACATGCTTAGCCAAAAATTAATCAGCTGTTTAACCAGCTAGTTAATGTATAGTGTTTAATTTGTGTGCAAATATCTCATTATTCTATATCATGAGGTAGAGAATTTTATATTTAATTAGGCCAGTTTATTTTCGCTAATGCAGCCAGTAGATGTTTTACAGTTTTTAAATGTTTATGAAGCAAATTAATATTCTCTGTATCTTGTTTTTAATGAAAGTGAAGAAAAAATGAAGAAAATTAAAATATAAATTACTTTTCTATTTCAATAAATTCAGTTTTTTTTTATAAGCAATGTAGAAGAATAAAAGTTTTGAAACTTTGCAGATGTAGTGTTTTTAACATGGAGTAAATAAAAAAACTTAACTATGGAAGTATAACATCTTAACACATTTTACACGTGTAAGAAGGATTAAAAGTAATCTAGTATGATAGTAACAGAATACATAAAATAATTTGCAATTTTAAAATATCTTTTTCATCAATGCAAATTCACAAGGAATCTAATGTTCACCACTAATAATGAAAAAACATGTTCTTTTATAACATATTATATCTCATTTCATCTTTTCATTTTTTCCCCCTTGCATGTATTGCAGGTTTATGATGGTACAAGCTCATCTGGTGTTCGATTGCATCCATCAGATGGTTTTAGTGGTTTATCTAGACCATCTATAACCTTAACAGCTAGCAGTGGAAACTTTTTTGTAAATTTTATAACTAATCCTATGCATACAGCTTCAGGATGGATGGCTAGTTTCAGTGCAGGTATGTAATAATAAGTTTTTTTTTTTTTTTAATATTTGTGCATGTGTCTTTAATTCTTTGTGCATGTGTCTTCATAAGTCTTTGCTCGAAACTCAATTCTTTAATTTAGTTTCATATTTAATAGAAGCTGTAAATTGCTTTTGATATGAAAACTCAATTAGACAGTTTTTTTTTCAGTCTATGCTTGTTAATTAAAACTTAATTAATTGTTAGTTATTTCATTTTGATTAATTTACCAAATTCTTCATTTTTGAAGTTTTGTATGCATTATAACATATTTCCTGTTTTCTATTAATTTATTAATTGCTACAGTGTAAAAGTAGCCTTCTTTCTTGTTCAAATAGATGCAATAATTAATATTTTTTATCAAATCACTAAATTATGAAAAAGTAATGAAGAAATATGTCAACATTAGTTACATTATATTGCAATAATATATTTAAATAATGCCTTGTAAACAATTTTTACAATTTATCATAAAAATGTTAACATAGGTAATTAATAGATCAACAACTTATCTTCCATACTATTTTACTTAAACTGTGATGGCATTACTTTTTACATGTAACTCTTTAGAAATTTTTTTTTTTTTTTTTAAAGAAAGATAGAGATTAGAAAGGGCTTAAGATATTTATCATAATGAATACATGAGTTGTATACATTCAGGTTGCGGAAAATTGAATAAAATTGTAAAATCCAGTATTACAGTCTATAAGACATTAAACTACTGCTAAGATATGATTATATTGCATATCATATAGAAAACTGAGGCTTTCTATATATCATATTAAAAAAGTCAAACATTTTATTTTATCTTACTGTTTTTTCCTTATATCACTAATATAATATCTTTGATGTTGAACTGTAATAGTTTATAAATATGGATAAATTTATATGAGAACAAAACATAAACACTTTTAAATTATTTCATTTCATTATTGCAGATTGTCCTCAACTTTCTGTTGGAGAAAGAGCTATAGCATCAAGCCGAGAAACAACATTTGGTGCGAGAGTTATGTATATATGTCCCATAGGTCAAGAATTCAGTTCTGGTGGTGATAGGATACTTGCAGAATGTATGCAGGGAGGTGAATGGAATGTAACACATATTCCTGGTTGTCAAGGTATGCAGAAATATTTAAAAATTTTAGTTAATAAAACAGATGGTTTAATTCTTACCTCCACCACCTCCAAACTCCAGCGTAAGCGATGATCTTAAATTATATGTATGCAATTATGTTAGGAAATATACTTCTATTATTTAATAATTAGAATTTATGCACAAAATTGAAAATATAAATATGTATAATATAGAATTCACACAAGTTCATAGAGAATAAAGGGATGATATCATCATAATACCTTTATATATTTGATTCTTTTTGATACCATTTTGCCATTTTTTCCAGCATTATTTTCTTACAATTATATATTAATTTTAGTACCCCAAGAGTCAAGGATTAAAATTTATTTGGTAATCATGTAGTATGCAATATACTACTTTTAATTATTTATTTCTTAGATGGTGGCACTAAAATGCTATCATTAAATTTAAATGTGTGATAAAATGGCAAGAATAATCAGAAATGGTTAAAACGATGACCAGTTTTAGTACTGCCATTCAAAAAATCAATAACTATAAAGAGTAGATCACATACTACATGATTACTATTTATTTATAAATTCCTCATCAAATATATATAATTTTATATAATTTAAATTGCATTCATAAATGCAGTCATAATTCAAATTTCGCTAGTTTTTCTTGCAAAATAAACATTAATTTCTTAAAGAATTTTTATTGTTTTCTAAATTTCAAGTACAGGCAGTAATGAAATTATATTATTAGATAAAATATTTAAAACTGTATATAACATATTTGTTTAGAAAAGTACTGTGGTCCTGTGCCTCAAATTGATAATGGATTTGCTGTTGCTGCTACTAATGTTACGTACCGAGGGAAAGCTACTTACCAGTGCTATGCTGGCTTTGGATTTCCTGGTGGTCGTCCAACTGAAACTATCCAGTGCCAAGAAAATGGGAAATGGGAAAAATTACCCATTTGTCTTGCATCTTCATGCCCAGCTTTGCCAGAAACTCCTCATGCTATAAGAACACTTCTAAATGGTGAAGGAAGCAGATATGGTACAGTGATAAGATTTGAATGTGAACCAGGATATCGTAGAATGGGAGCTCCTGTACTTGTGTGTACTAGTGTTGGCCAGTGGTCTTATGAGCCACCTGTTTGTGAAAGTAAGTTTTTTTTTCCCTTTTCTTTTCTTTTTTAAATTTAAAATACATGAAAAGAAAACCTTAAAATTGTTAATGTAATTGTCATAAATACCATATTTACGTATGCCTTTTTCTGCTTTTTCATGCTAATGCCACTTAAAAACCGAGAGGCAAAAAAATACGAGGTTTGTATTATTTTTGAAGAGATGACTTAAATGATAAACATAATACATTTGAAAGCACATATAAACACCCACCAATATTGTTATGTCCACCAATATTATATATTTCAAAGGATTTATCAATTTCAGTAATATTCTTTTTACTCAGACAAAATATTTTCCTTATTTATGCATATATTTTATAATGTTATCATAAATCGGAAGTTTCTAAACTGTATGCTGAAAAAAACTAAAGGGAAAGTACTTGAGGCAAAGAAATATGCAAATGAATACAGTCATTAAAATTTATTATTTTCTAAGATTTGTAAAAAATCAGTACAAAGTGGCTTCGGGGAATGGAGGGAAATATTAGCTAAACAAACTTGGTCCTATAGTGTTAAGTTGTTTTCGTAGCATAATTTTATTATTATTTATTTATTTATTTTTTTAAAATGCTTTAAATTTTTTCCTAGAAGGGAAAGAAAAATATCACATATAAAATTATGCTTCAAGTGTAAAAATATGCCATATTTTTATTCAAGCTAATATCTTTGCTAAAAAATGCTTTTGTGAGTCTGAATTAGTGTAAACTCCATCTAATTTTCATGCAATATTCAATTAAGTAAGTATGTTTAAGAGGACCGATGACGCAGTGGCTATCGCATCACGCAGCGCCACAGGTCTGGGCTTCGATCCCTGGGCTGGGCAAGGTCAGCTCAGCCTTTCATCCCTTGGTTCGATAAAATGAGTATCAAGCTCGCTTTGGGACTAAACACTGGGGGTCCTATGACAAGCTCACCACTTGTTCAGAGCATGTGCTTAATGTACCCTGGGGCCCATAATCAAGAAAGCAGATTTCGGGGCACTGTTGGCCTTGGCTCACTAGGGCTGTTGCGTCAATGAGTTTTTAGTTTAGTTTTAAGTATATTTAATGTACTGCATTATTAACTTATTGAGCATGAATCTATTTAAACTTGATAAAAGCAATTAATTAGAATAACTGTCATTTAACATAATTGTAGAATGGATTCCGATTTCTGATATTAGATTCCTTGCTGAGCATTTTAATAGTGGTTATTGAGTCATAAATTGTAATAGTTTTTGGCACTGGATTTGGCATAATTTTTAAGCAAGTGATGAGTGGTGTATGATATATATATATATCACTCATTTTTAATCAGTTGCATTTCACTGAACTATTTTTGAATAAATAGTTCAGTGAAATGCAACTGAGTATAACCTGCTGTTTGAACAGTTGTGAAAATTATTATTTTGCATAGATTGAATGAATAGATTTAAGCAAAGACTTCTTTTTTGAAATTGAATTTATTATTGATTTAATATTTTAGAATTCTTTTAGTGTTGTATAAAGACATTTAATGGTAATTATTTGAAAAATTTCATGCATTTTTAAATTTAAAATCAAATAAAACATCCATCTTATATATTTTATGATTTAGTGTTTCTTCATATTTAAATTCTAAATTTAAAATTCTAGAAAATCTATAAAATTTTAGGCTGTTTATTGCAGAGAGGGCTCAAGAATGTAAAATATGTTACAATATTTACAAAAAGGAATAAAATGTATTTTTAATGAATTTTAACATTTGCATTGATAATATTTTCCCACCAAAATGTTTTATAATGTAGTTGAATATATTCATCAGTTTTAAAATATTTAAAGATGTTAATTTTTCAATTCTTATTTAAGTAGACTATAAGTTATGTAATATTTCTAGGAGTGAAGTGTCCAATATTACCTGAAATAGTAAATGGCTTTATTATCGATAAAGATAAAGAATACTTCTTTGGTGATGAAGGCAGAGTACAGTGTTTTAAAGGATATAAATTAGAAGGAAGTCCAACAATAAAATGTGGAGCTGATCAAACATTTATCAATACATCTGTCTGTAGAGGTTTGTCATTAAATTATGTTATCAGATTTTTTATGCAACTTTTAATAATTTTTCATAATTTATGTGAAAACTGTACTAGTTTTACAATGTTACATCTGAAATTATTATTTTATTAATTTTGCAATTTTTTACAAATGCTCCGAAAATTGTGGCAATTTGGCAATTTGTCTCCAAATCTGGATTGTAATTGTAATCTATATTCTTAACTTTTAAGTGCATATGCTTGGTTGATAGCTTAGTTAATACTTGGATTTGTCCTCTTTATAACATCAAAAATGAATTCTTTCTCTCTGGGTACACAAATTCTGTTACTATACATTAAAACGTCTGATAATTTTAAATCCAGTTTGTGCATAAAAATTTGAATTCTATGATTTGTGCTATTCCTGATGATTTTGTTTATAATAATGCTATTATGATACTATTAAAATAAAGATAACGTGTTGAAATTGCTTAATTATCGAAAAATATATCGGAGTTGCCAGCTTTTCCGTTTTTTTAACTTTTTCCCACCAACCCGATTTACAACATATTTCTCTCAACTTTCTCTTATTCTTGAAATTTCTCGTTATTTTTATGTACCTTGCCTTAATATTTCATTACATTCATGAAGTTGGCAATGATGTGTCTGTTGCTTCTAAGCAATTCATACTTATCTTTATGTTAGCATAATTTTAATATATTTTGGAGTTTTGAATATACATTATTATATTTTGGTTTTTTCTTTACATCGTAGATTTTATGATTATTAAGTATAAATCAGCATTGATTAGGTCTTGTATATTATTGTATTTAGTCTTCTAAATGGAATAGAGGTACTTTGGCCACTGACAAAATTATTAATTAGTGTTTAGAACTGTCAAATGTATAATTTTGTTAAGAGTTTATGTGTTTCTCATGAGACATATCTTAACATTTCCTTTTCCCTGTGGAAAATTTTTAGAGTAACATTTGAAGATGTAATAAATTTTTTGCATCCATTTTGTGTTTGTTCTGAAAATTTACTGTTATGAATCTGAATGTGCATGCACCTATATTTAGGTGAGAGTGGCTTATTTTGTGTATTGGTAGTATTTTGCTGATATGATTATTTAATTTCCTTTCTTCAGATGTTGATGAATGTGCATCATCATCTTGTGATGCAGCTTCTACAAAATGCTCAAATACTGATGGTGGTTTTTACTGCAAATGTAGGAAAGGTTTCGAACCAAACATGGGTAAGAAAAGTGTTGTGTATTTTCATATGCTATCATTAAAAAATATTTTTGATTTTTCATATGATTTTATTTTTCATAATTATTACGTTATATGAATTTTAGCATTGATAAAAATAGACTGAATTTTGTATATTTTTCAGTAAACTGGGAAACTAATTAACTTTTATACACTTTAAAAGCAGTGATGCATTCAATTGATTAATTTTTAGTATGCTGAATATCCGACTTTTTTGTGCAATACTAACATGCTCTATGTATCGAAACTTAACTGTTTCATTTCTCAAAGTATTATGTTTAAAATAGTATGCTTGTTTACACATTGCTGTATCATCCTAAGACTATAACATATTTTACATATTCCCATAATTAATCCATTTCCCTTTGTTATTAAAATTTAAGTAATATTTGGTTCATTATCATTTTTAATCTCATTTCTGATCTGTTCCAAAAATAATTGTCATTTATGCTATCTTTCGCACTTATTAAAGGCAAAATGTAAGTACGGATTAAGTGTAAGAATTTGTATTTCCTTAACTGTGTATTAATCATACATGAATCACTAGGTATTATGTATTGGGATACTAGCAACTTATCTTATATTTAACCCATGATACATAACTCCATGTATTATACATAGTTTTCTTAATGTACTAATGTTATCATTTGAAAATATTATTCTCTTTACTTAACTTGTTTTATAATCTGTCATTATTTTAAAGCTACCTTGTTTATATTTATTTTTCATAAAACCTTATACAGTACAAATAATCCGGATGTCCATAACCTGGAATGATCTATAATCCGGACCTCAAAGCTACAAACTTTCTGCGCATGCATAAATGCGTAATGTGTTTACGCATGCGCATAATACCTTTATGCATGTGCATAATACGTTTACGCATGTGTGTTTAATGTATAATGGACAGTATAAGCTAGGCTAAAATTATCTAATTATCTATTTCAGTTAATGTTGCAGATTGCTTTGTTCCTTAATCTTCTAATTGGATCCGGCTTATTATTTTTTGCAGACTGTTAGAACAATTTTATAAAAAGTAAGCTTCAACTTTCGATTATGTCAAAAAGAGTTTCTGATTCTAAAGCTGCCAAAGGATCTACAAAGCGAAAGCATGTTTCAATGTACTGCTTCCAATAGTGAAGAAAGTGACAGAGAGGTTATTGAAAATGAAAAAATTTCGATTAACAAGTTAGTCGGTATTCTCGACACAGCAATTACGGGATTTGAACAGTGGAACTGAACAAGAAATTATGTCTGTTTATAGAATTAAAGAGAAAGTATTAGCACAAAAAATTAAGCAACCTAAACTTACATTAAGGAAATGTTTAATAAAGTAAACAAATACTAAGCTTTTTTTTTTTTTTTTTTTTTTTTTTGTAAATTTGGATACCCTTTAGATCATAATTGCTCTCTATTTCATAAATTATGGTTTCATGTTTTTAATTTTATAATTTCTTCATGCCATCTTACCAGATTTAAATTGATGATCTATAATCCGGAAAAACCCCTAATCCGGAATTGCCAAAGTTCCGACGAATCCGGATTAAAGATTTTGTACTGCACTTTTTTATTCATTCACTTTGATACACTTCACATTAAAATTTGGTATTAGTTAATAAAATATTCAGTATTGGTATATAAATTGAAGTTCTAAGGACGGATTATATTCACTGATTTAATTTCGTTTCAGAATGTCGTCCTGTTGGTGACCTAGGCATAGGAAATGGCAATGTACCAGATAGTCGCATTAAAGCTTCTGGAACTGAAATTGGTTACAGCAAAAATGTTCGTTTCTGTTTTTAAGTTATCTATATATTAATGCTAAAATCTGTATTATTTCTTTTTTGTTAAGCATCTGCCATATTTACTTACATATTCTCTCTCTCTTTTTTTTTTTTTTTTTTTAAACTTATGTTACTGTATGAAAATTGAGAGGGGAAAATTATGTGAACAATTTAATTTCTGAAGGGTACAGTTATAGTAAGAGGATATTAAAGTATCTATGGATAAACTGCTGGTAACTATCACAATGCTAGTCATTTAAAAGAAGCATACATTCCAGTAAGAATAAATAGTACTATTAACATTACAATATCAACTAAAGTACCTTCATTCTTGCTTCCCCTGTATCTCTAATCCCGCCTGCTTTTATGGCCACTCCTACTCTCTAGGCCTTAAAATCATTCAATGTTGCTGGACCTGCTTTCTGTATCATGTACTCTGTGCTTGCATATCATTTCCATCATCTTTATTGCTGTTCAGTCTGCGCAATCGTTTTCAGAATCAACAGCAGTATTAGATATTCCCATTTTCTGGAAGCTTTTCACTTTTATTGCTTCAACTGTTAAAGTCCATGCACAGTTAGGACATTTAGACAAAATGTTTGTTTCAATTTTATAATATAGTAATGTCTGGTTGTCTAGGAACTAAGTTCAGGAAGATTCTTCATAACCTTTGCGGGTAATTTGTAGATATTTGTCTTTCTTAGTAAAGTGAAAGTAACCATTACGTGAACAAATCTATTCTTAAATTTAGGAAAGCTGAGGGTTTTGAATGCCTTGAAAGAGCAGAAATTTACGTGAATATTTAAAATATTTTCATAATCTTTTGCTAAAAATCTTCGGGGAAGAACACATTAGTGAAGACAATATTTTATAAAATATAGGAAGTGTTTATTTTACTATTCTGAAAAAATATCTGTGTATTTTGATGTAATTGTATGAAAATTAATTTTAAAATTAACAAGTTAACACAAAAAATTAACAATATTACATTTAACTAACTATAGTGCAAAAGCAATATACAGAATTTTTTATTGTTTTATGTTATGAAGCTGTTTATGTACAGTGTCAATGAAAACACTTAATTGTTATTAGCTATTAGTATAAAAAATTGTCACTGAATCATATCAATATATTTTCTTTGGTCTTTTTGTACATTTTGTGCAAAAAGACATCAAAGAAATATATTTAATACTTCTTAGCTGTTTTAGTAATTTTTTTTTTCATACTGTTTAGCGTGTGCGTTTGGACCACTCTTTGGGATGGTGTGGTAATATTCAAAGACCTGGAGAAAACTGGATACAGTTTGATCTTCGAGCTCCAGTTGTATTACGAGGCTTCAGGACACAGTCAGTTCCAAGGCCTGATGGATCACAAGCAATCCCTCTTGCTGTTCGTATTCAATACAGTGATGATTTAACTGATTTATTCCGTACATATGGTGATCCCTTTGGTCAGGTATGTAAACTTCTTTTTAGTTATGTACTGCACAGTACATAGCAATTGGAAGAAAAATATTTTTATCATTAATTAAAATTTCAATAATGCATAAATCTAATCGAAATTTAATTTTTAGATATCTTATTCTGACTTCCTTGATATTTTCGGTAGCAGACATTACTTTTTAATTAAACAGTTGCGACATTATAATAATAAAAAACATTTTTTCGAAGGCATATTAAATAAAGTCACATTACAGTTTTACTATTTTTATGTATTTTTTATGTCCACCAGTGGCAGAGCAGTAAAGTAGTCAAACACTAATAGTTAGACCTGGATTTGATTTTAAGAAAATAAGCTGGCTGCATGGTTGTTTTGGTAATTTTCCTGATATGCAATATGGATGAGCCAGTTTCCTTCAGAAAGTCCTCCATGAAGGCAGATAGTCATAGCATGTTTTGCCATAATGAAATAAAAATTTTTATCAGGAATAATTCACCTTTACAAATAAAAGTAAAGAAAATGGATCTTATTACTTTATGAACTTTTAAACTATAGTATTTTTCTGCTTAATCATACTGATATTTAATTAAAATATAAAATTGTAATATTAGATTATTTATTTTTTATTAAAAACATTTGGCAAATAAATGTACAAAATGAAATATTGTAAAATGATTGGTATAAATATTTGTATTGAGAGAGGGGGACTACCAACGGTAGTGTGTCAACTAATTAATGTTATTATGATTTTTAATGAAAACTTACACTAGTCCCTTTTTTATTAGGTAGTTAATTATTTTTGATTAAGTTCACAAGGCAAGCCATTATTATATCATCTTTAACAAAAGGAACACACCAAAAGAACAAATTTTAAAAATATTAAACCTTTGAAGATGTAGTCCTGCTAAATTGTGCATATTACATAAATTGTAGTTGCTGATTCTTAGTATCTTTAGCAGTGTTTTATCATCTATAAATTTAATTAAATATGCATAGATAATCTCTATTTATAGTAGACCATACATTTCATATTCTGAAAGATTATTCAACTTTATCTATTTTTAAAGATTATTTTATTGCAAGTGAAGATTTGGAACAAGAAGATAAATTATTTCATATATATTTGAGCTTTTCCCTTGATAAATCCGGCACAAACCACGAATTGAGTTATTTACCATTTGTTGTAATTTTTTGTACATATCATGCATTTTTGTAATATTTTAATTTTTACAACATTCCTTTTATAATTCTTTGTGCATTCAAATTTATTAATTTTTTCTAACGCCTTTTAGATTTTGAAGTCATCTTGACTTGTAATTTTAATTTACAAGTCAAGATTTTACAAGTTTTTGCAAGTTTGCTTTACCACTTTATTATTGTTTCTAGATGTTGAATGATTTACTTTTTTGCTAAGAAACTATAGAGTCAAATGAATTTTTTAGCATAAGCTTTTAAATGTTCCTCTTACTTCTAAAATTTATATATATATAATTAAAAAGAAAATTCTTCAAGCTATAGCCTATGAGCTAAAGTGATAGTTCGGTTCCTTTGCAAAAAAAGTATAAACACAAAGTAATGATCCAGTTGTAATGCAAAATGTAAAAACATAATATGTTTTTACATATTATTAAGTTTCTACACAAAGTAATGATCCAGTTGTAATGTAAAAACATAATATGTTTTTTTTTTTACTAATTAAGAAAAATAGCAAAAGGAGAAAGCTTAACTTGATTCAAATTTAAAAGTTAATATGTATGTAGAATAAAGTGTAAGCTACCTCAAAACATATTAGAAAAAAACTACAAAAACATCATATTAAAAAACAATAAGTAATACAAGCAGCGTTAAATGGAATAATTAGCCTAATTCGAATATCACCATGGACTTTTCAAGGGAAATGCATGGTGAGATTTGAAATCTGCTAAATACCAGAACGCGTTTCGTCAAACAGGACATTGAGACCGATACCGAACAAATTTTTTATTAAAAAAGTACAAATATTAATTGTTTCCAAGGCTCAATTTCCCTGTTTTTCCCTGTTGTGAGGGAAATGAAACAGGGAAATTGAGACTTGGATACTATTAATATTTGGAATTTTTTAATAAAAAATATGTTGGCTATTGGTCTCAATTCTTTTGCTATTTCTTCTTTTGCTATGTTTGACAAAACGTGTTCTGGAATTTAGCAGAGTTCAAATCTCACCGTGCATTTCACTTGAAAAGTCCATGGTGATATTCGAATTAGGCTAATTATTCCATTTAACCCTGCTTGTATTACTTATTGTTTTTTAATATGATGTTTTTGTAGTTTTTTTCTAATATGTTTTGAGGTAGCTTACACTTTATTCTACATACATATTAACTTTTAAATTTAAATCAATTTAAGCTTTCTTCTTTTGCTATTTTTCTTAATTAGTATTTCATACATATTATGTTTTTACATTTTGCATTACAATTGGATCATTACTTTGTGTTTATACTTTTTTGCAAAGGAACCGAAATATCACTTTAACTCATAGGCTATAGCTTGAAGAATTTACATTTTAATTTTATTTCAAATTTTGCTGCTTAATGTGCAAAATTCTTGACCTCACAGGTCCTTTTAAGTTGAGCTAGTTTGCCTTTCTCACGTTTGCTAGTATATATATATATATATATTTAAATAAAGGAGATTCCATTGTTATGTACTGGTGAAAAATCATAAAAGATTATAAATCTACGTAGTTTTTTTAACTTCATTTATCTGAAAAGTAATTTTTTTGTAGCCTATCGATTTTCGTTTGACCCACAATGGAGGTTCTGGCCTTTCAATTGTCAGTCTTCCAATGCCTATTGAAGCACGATACATCCGTGTTCTTGTGATGGATTATGTAGGTGCACCATGTGTACGAGTTGAGCTTATGGGATGCACACGACAGGATTGCCATGGTATGCTATCTTCATCTTAAATTTTGTCTTAATTATGTCTTAAATTTCATTCAATATTTTGCAGCTGATATATTGCTTTTATATTAAAGCAATTATTTAGCTTAATACAAAGCTTTTATACAAAAAATATTGCCATAAAATTGTGTTGTATATTTCTCCTGTCTATTTAAAGGGGAGGTAAGATTTAATTTTTTTTCTCTGTTTTAGTTTTTATTTTTAAAACTATATTTTCCAAAAATATATATACTATTGATACATTTTTTAAATGTATGTGTTAGCTCTTAAACTTCCATTTCATAAAAAAGTTCTTCATTCTGAGCATTTATTATTTGCCATTTGTTTTAGAAGAACATTTCAGTGCTACTAGTGTCAAATTTTTGTTCTTTTTAACTTGTATCTTAGTTCTCTAATTCTAAGCTAATTTTTATAAGAAGATAACAATGATCAAACAATGTAATTTAAAATTGTAATATCTATGTATAGCACAGATTTTATGCACTTTTTGTTTTCTTTTTATATTATTAAATTTAGTTATACTGAGGAATTATTTTATAAGTAAAAAGAGTTATAAAATTTCTAACTCGTGTGATACTTAAAACTTGATTTCGTATGTTATACTTTTTCTGTATCTTTTAAAACTATATTTTTATATAAATGATTTATATTTTATATTAATGATTTATTTTATAAATTCTTATTTAGATATAAATGAATGTCTCGATAAAAATGGAGGATGTGACCAGAGGTGTATTAATAATCCTGGAAGTTTTAATTGTCTGTGCAATGTAGGCTATGAGCTTTACACTCAGAATGGAACAAGTGGCTTATATATTCCCGATAGTGAAACAGGGTTAAAAACTGGTGATACATATACTATAAATAAAACCTGTGTCCGTAAGTATCAATATATTCTTCGATTTTTGATTATATTCATTTATAATTAAATACATGTTAAAAATGTAGACTTAACTTATATATTTTTAATGTTTATTTAATTTTATTTATAGATCATAATACTATTTTAATAAAGATGTATGCTGTCATAATGAATATGACTTATACTTCCTAATCAAAATTAAGAATCACTAAAATTGCCCTATTTTCTAAATTGAAATTCAAGAATTTGTTTTATTGATGGTAGTTTTTAATTAAATTTGTTTTTAGATTTTTCTTATCTATTTTTTGGCAAATAAAAATGTTTGGTTTATAAATATAGCATATTCAAATAAAAGTTCTGTTTACAAAATTTTGTACTTGTATGCTTTCATAAATAAAGGAAAGAATAATTACACTTAATTTCCTTTTCAGGCAAGTTGCTTTACTATACCAATATGCGTTAGTTATGTAAAACAGTAAGAGTGGCTGCATCATGTAATAGCAGTAACTTTGTAAATTCTGGAAAATATTAAAACACTTAAAAAAAAAAAAAATAATGTTTCTTATATCTGCTCATCTGCAGTTTATTATCCCCATTTTATGGCTGCAAAACTAGAAAAATAAAAGTTAAAAAAACACCTTGAAATGTTTATTGAATGACAATAAACCAAATGTAACTTAGTTTTAAATACTATACCTATTTTTCTACAAAAATCGTGCACTTGTATGCCTATTTAACCTTTTGAGATCGGAGATTGGATGTCTGTAAGATCCTTATAGAGATGGGAGATTTCAAACTTTATGCTTTTCCCTGTTCAAGAAATCACTTGCTGTTTGCAACAATGGCAATCTTTTAGTAAAGGAAGGGAAATTCAGAGATTGTTTTCTGAATTGCTTATGGTTTTCTTTATGAAATGGAAATATAAAGGTGCAGTTGATTTTGAATCACATTATTCAGTGATATGCAGAAGACAATTTATATTTTCATCACAGAAAATGTTATTCTGTTTCTCCATATTTTAGCATCCTCCTTTGGGGTGATAAGTCTGAGATTTTTTAAGTAATGATTTTAAATTATCTTAACAAATGAAGTGCCTTTATAAAGTGGTAAAAAAATTAATTCTATCATATTTTAAATTTATGTTAAAAAATTACCCCATATTTGTTACTTTATAGGTATGTTTAATTTTTTCTGTTATTTATCTGGTCTCTATCTCATATTTTAATGCATCTGAAAATTTTTTCATAGATTTCATGAACTAATTTCTTTTTAATTTACAAACATTCATGGCTTCATAAACAAAAAAAATCATGCAAATATTGCAGTAAATAGAAAAATTTTATAGTCATATTTTCCGGTAATGTTTAATAGGTTTTGCTGTATTTTTATTGAAATTATCCGAATTTTTTAAAATTCTTCCTATGGAAGGAATGGCTAAAAAATAAAAATAATTAATGCTACATAAATGATTAAAGATGTAAACTGTCTGGAAATGTTAAAATCTAAATTACAGAAAAGTTAAAATTAAGTCTAAATGAGTCTTAAAAATTTGCATGAAAGCATAATGCTTAAGAGTAAAAACTGATAAAAATTTTAAATATGCAGTGTTCAGTTCAAATATGACTTGTACTATACATTGTTCATATATTTCATATTGCAAGTAATACTTGCATTATGCAATGCAATGTGCATTTGGAATTTTGGTATTTTTTGCCTTTTCAATAAATTATTCGTAATTTTTCTCTTTAAGTATAATTTCATGCATGTGAATTTAAAAGTTGAATACAAAATGTGATTCATTTCAGCTAAAAAGTGTCCAGCTCTTGGCAGCATAGAAAATGGAAAAATTCTTACAACAAAATCAGATTTTCATTTTGGTGATGTCGTCAGCTTCCAGTGTGACTTCGGCTATGTGATGTCTGGTAGCTCAGTTCTGTTATGCAACAGCAATGGAGAATGGAATGGAACAGTTCCTTCATGTAAATGTAAGTCCTTTTTCTATTTACCATTTCCTGCATTTTATTTACTCCAGACAAAAAGAATTATAAAATAAGAAAAAAAATTAAGACCATTTTGCTATATATTAATAGTTATTCATGAATATAATTCAGTTTTGTTTCCCATTTGTATTTACAAGGGTGATCCAAAAAAATAGTTACAAGGTTAATAAAAGACTATTTATTAAAAATAGGCAGAAAATACAAAAGGAAATTAAGAGCCATAATTGCCTATTATTTTTCCACATAATAATCAAATCCATTTAGACACTTATCTGAATGGAGGATCAACTTGCTTAATTCAGCTCTGTAAAAATCATATCCCTGCCCACTAAGCCAGTTCTCAATTGGCTGTTTTCACATCACTGTCTGAAGAGAACCTCATTTCAGATAAATGTTCCTTCAATTTTGGATAAAGAAAATAGTCACTGGGTGCTAGATCTTGGCTGTATTGTGGGTGACTCCAGACTTCCCACTTTTGCAGCAATTCCTGAGTTTTGACGAGCAGTATGGCACCAGACATTGCCCATGCAGGAGGATGACATCGTCACTCATTATGCCAGGACACTTGTATCGGTGGCACAATAATGATATGATCACACTACAGACACTTGATCAGGACAACGTATCACAGCTGGCACCTCAAAGCAAGGCCACTTTTCTAAACGTCTTGCTTTTTCAATTGCTCTAACACATCTGCAAACTTACTGTACCTACCCGCATAACCACTGCTTGACAACTAGTGCCATCTGCCTACAGTCTGGAGATAAAATATTCCTTCCACAATAATTTCTTTTCAAATGCTGATGCTTGTAACCTTTATATATATATATATATTTGATCCACTTAGTGAATAAAAATAAATATTATTGTAGCAGCATATTTTAATATTGCTTATAAAGCTGAAAGTTTAAGGGGGGAATGGGTGTTATTATTTAAATTTAAAAAGTGTAACTAAAACTCTTAAAGATGTTTAAGTATACTTTTATTGTATTCCTATTATTAGACAGGGGGGAAAAAATGAATGAGGACTGCAAGTTCATCAGGTAGTATTGAATGTTGTATAGAAATCTGAAAATGTTTCTGATGTATCTTAAATCAAAATTCCATAGTTTATTTTGAGTATAATTTAATTAAAGTCATTCCTTAAAAATATAAAAACTTTTTTATGCTAACTGGCAAATAGAAATTTTTGTTTGATATTTCATCTAATAGTTATTTCAGTTCTCTCTCTTTCTCTGTCACATAAGCATACATATATAAATTATTTATTAAATATGCGTAGACACACATACTTGTTTTATCAGAGTTCAAAGAAGCAAGGTTTTTTCATTGTTGTTTTACTTAAATCTAAATAAATTATAAATCTTTGATGATAATTTCTGTAGTAATCTAAAATGGCTTTTAAGGTAATGCCATATTACTTTTAAAATTCCTTGAATTACACCATACATTGGTAAAAAAAACTGTGATATACATGTCATACTGCTAGAAAAAACTTGTGAATGAAGAACTTTTTTTAAAAAAGATTATTCTAATATTTTGATATTTTAATTTTTATTTAATATATAAATTTTAATGAATTATTTAATCACCAAATTCAGTTATTATTAAAATTTTACTTATGTTTTCTATTTTCAAGTTTTACTAATTGTTTATAGTCTATTATTGTCTAATTAGAGGGAAAATATCATTATTGTAAGGTATAAGAAAATTCTGGACATTTTATTTTGGTAATGTTCCCATTTGTCTACATCTGCAATCTACTTCTTTTTTTCTCCCATTATTGAATTCATTTGTAAGGCCCATAAACGTTATCACTAGAATTCATAAAAAGTATGTCTAGAATATTATGTAATAATTAGGTAAAATCATTTCAAAAGTTATTTATAATTAATTTTAATTTTTGTGCTTGGTGCATTGAGAATGGATTGAATTGAGTAATGTGGCAAAATGCACTGAACCTAAGGGAAGGGATGCACTTGTGGAGGATTTCCTAAGGGAAACTGGCTTGTATTCATGGTTGCACAAGGAAAAAACCGTAAAAAGATCCATTAGGCAACCCATTATTCTGAATTTGAACCCAGATTAAATTGCCAGTGTCTAGTGATCTTTCCCATTTGATCACTGGTGGGCTTTTATGCTCTGCAAAGTTTAAGAAGGAATCAGAAGTACTTCATTTATTTGCAATAAATAATAATATATTATTATTATTTTGCCAAAACATTATTTAAAAAAAGTTCATCTCAAATTATAATTGAAATAAATAAATCATTACATAAAATAAAGAAAATAATTCATTTAAATGTTTTTTTAATAAATGTTTTGAAGCAGAAAAATTGATGGGTAAACAATTAATGGGAAGAAGTAGCTCCTTAACCAGCTACAGATACACACCAGGCCATCCTCATAATTGCATTAAGTAAAACTTCGTTCTCATCCAAAAAGGGTTTAAAAAAAAAAAAGAACAAATCATAATCAAGCTGACTTCTAACTATTTGAATTCTTGCTTTCCTTTGCTTAGTATTCTAAAATTAACAATAAATGTTTTATCTTTCAAGTAAAATTTTTTTATTATTCTTTGCTGTAAGTATTATCTTGTTATGCACAAATGTGTGAGGTATAGGTAAAAACTTCTTACACAGACCTCGTACATTTTATTCTTTATACTTCCACACATCTTATTCATTTATGTTTTCAGAACATATAAATTGCTTCTGCATATGTTGGTTATTTGGAACTGCATTGATTTTTTTGTTGTACTTTTAATATTAATTATTATTCTTGTGTATTACTTGTAAGCTTTAAGATTTACAAGAAAATTACAATTTCAATTTAAAAAAAAGCCAATAACATTGAAACAGTATTTTTAAATTGTTATGCCTATTAACAATTTTCAGCATATTTCTTATGTCTTGATTTAAAAACATATAACTTATATGTGCTTAAACTATAAACTCTAGTTATTTCCATATTTTGAAAAATATTGTACTTATGATCTTATTATCTGTGAACTAAAGTATGTGTTATGCTTTAAAATATATGGAAATGAGTTTCTTTAAATACCTATTTTAAATTGAATTTTAATTTTCAGTTGCACACTGTCCATTAATAAATTCTGATCCAAAACAAGGACTTGCTATTCGAGTTGCAGAAGATATTCAGAGTATTCCATATTTAGAAAACATCACTATCAGTTGTGAAGAGACTGGAAGACCACTGCGAGCTACTGCATCTGCTGATTTTAGACAGTGTGTATACAATCCTTATCCTGGTAAACCTAATTACTGGTTATCTGGAGATGCTCCTCAATGTCCAAGTATGTAAATTTTCCTTTTGATCAAATTTATTTCTTTTTTATGATCTTTAACAGCCTTCATCAGAAAAGTTCCAGGACTGAGCTCCTAAAAAGTACAACTAATGCTACTTGGTCTTGCCAAACATTTCCCTTAGCTATTTACATACAGTTGCCAGTATTCCTATGAATCATGGAAGCAGGCAGAAAGAGTGTCATGTGAGGTACTTCTCAGCCTATCTCTCATAATCATTTAGTTTGCTGAACATGGAAAACCATTAGTTGCTAAGTTGAATAAACTATTTTTTACAGGCTCATTTTTGGAACTTTTCTAACAAAGGTTACATTTGCTGAAATACCTTGTTTGGAATAAAATTAGATTAAATAATCACAAAAAAATACTGTTAATTTTTGTGGTCCTTCTATATTAATCCTGTAGAAAGAAAACTAGGAAAAATCAGTGATATGTTGTCACCTACTTGTTTTCAGGCACACTAGTGACCAGTATAATGGCTACAGGTCTGAGCTGGAATTATTCAGATGGACATGTCTTTTTTATTTTGCATTAGTTATGCAATTTATCTATGCAATATTACCTTTATCATTTATTTAGTATTTAAACAGCATAATTATCAGGTTTTTAACAAAAGTTTCCCACCACTGCAAATATCGTCTGATCAAACGGTTTGCTGGTCCACAGTCAGTGTGTGCTGCATCGAGAGGGCGAGTCAGAGTGCCTCGTCTGGAGTGTGAGACAGTTAGTATCGAGTTGGTGTCTCATCTAGCGAGTCAATCCCTGCGGAGTCGATTGAGTTGACAGCCGGGCAGCGAATGGGTCGTCGAGTGCACCAAAAGAGTCTCTTAGTGTATCACGTTTAGTGCATCGTCGAGAGAGCGAGTTGAGCTCTGGGAACGACTAAACCAAAGAGTTGAGCTGTGCTCTGTGTGTCGTTGAGTGCATCGCGAGTTGTAGCGGGCAGAGTCTCGAGAGTACCTGGAGTTCCGAGAACAACCGAGCAAAGTCGGGAGCTGTACTCTGGTGCTTTGCAGTGAAGCTGTCTTCACCGTTATTGCCTGACAGTGTGAAGGCTGTGTCGCTGATTGTTCCAGCGTGTTTATAGTAGATCTTCGACGATTGTAAAAAGTGTTATTGGAGCTGTCCTGATTAATATTGGCTGAATAAAGTGCGTCGATACTTCATCAAGGACCATGACGCTGAAGAATCAGAGTGCTCTGACCAGCTTACTGATGCTGATAAGGCCCACCTGCGAGAAGTTGTGGAAGAAGATCAGTATGCAACCACTCGAGAGCTTGTTATGAAGTTAGACATTAGTGCCATGTCCATTAGTCATAGCATCACATAAACTTGACATACAAGTTCAACCACTGGATGGCGCTTGAGCTGACACAAGAAGACATGTTCCAGCCTGCACTAATCTGCTCGAATATTAATGCAGGGACAGAATTCTGGACCAAATCATCTCTTGTGATGAAAAGTTAATTTACTTCAATAACACAGGCGAAAAGGAGTTTGTCTGTGTCCAACGAGCCCATCGGCAGCATTGCAAAGTGTAATTTGACTAACAAAAAGTTCATGCTTTGTATCTGGTGGGTAGCCATGATATCATCCACAAAGAGTGTCTGGAAAAAAGTAAAAACTTTGACGGTAAGGTGTACTGTGAGATGATATACTATATTGACGCTGCTATCAAGGAAAAACATCAAACTGAGTTCCAGTGCAAAAAGGTAATGTTCCATCAAGATAATGCAAGACTACATGTGTCTGCGTTCGCTGGCTGGACTCTGTATGAACTCAAATGGAATCTTTTGCCACACCCACCATATAGCCTGACATCGCTCCTTTCAACTTCTACCTTTTTTCACACCTGCAGCTACATCTTGCTAGTGCTAGATTCCATTCCCCACAGGACGTCTGAAATGAAGTTGATGTGTTTTCATACTCGCAGCCACCAAGTTGTTGGGCCAAAGGCTTTGAAAAACTACCAAAACGTTGGCTGAAAATCATAGATTTAGGTGGTGATTACTACTTGCACTAAAGGTACTGCTTTCATGTTTTTTTCCCTAACTTTATTAAGAACGTTTTTTAGCAAAAAACTTTCATTACAACCAGATGCATTATGTATCAAGATAATTAAACTTCTTCCTCTCATTCTGCAATTCTGTTTATCAAGATACTTGAATATAAGATTCTACCAAATTTTAGAATAAAAAATATAGCAAAAAATTTCAAGCGAAAACAATATCTAATTTTTTTTTTTTTGGGGGGGGGGACTTTAGTTTGGTATGGATTTTAAATAAAATTCTATTAACTATAAAACATGGGAAAATCTATCTTAGTTTTTTATTCTTTTAATCTTTTGTTTATTGTGCAAAATTTTAAGTTATGTGCCTTTTATGTGGTTAACATTCAATTTATGCTGTTAAATTCCTTCTCTCCAGCCTGGGGAACAACTCCATTTTGCAATCATAATTAAGTATTCAACAACTTAACTGACAACCCTCCTCAAAGGCTAACATTTGTAATATTCAACTGTCATAAAATAAAAATTGCTTAACAAAGAAGAAAAAGTGAGAGCTTTAAATATGAAATATGTGTTTATATCAGATGAATGAAACAAGACTGTTACTTGAAAAGTTGCACAATACAGAAATGAACAAAATATTATTTTATAGTGTTTGAGGACTTATTTTGTTAAAAACAATTGCCAAACAGATTAACTACATTATGTATATATTTATTGATTTTTTTAAAATTCTGTTAGTTGGGGCTTGAATATCTTTTGTTTGGCCCACTGACTTAATAGTTTTAATAAATTATATTTTGATGTAATAAAGCCTATGGGTTAAAACAAAAATTCTCCCATTTAAATATATATATAATTTTTTATATCTCTTTACCATCTAAAATATTTTTATAAGATTTTCAATGTAAATTATTATGCAAAGTTGCCACAAAGGATGGATCTTATGTTACCTTTACAGTACGTATCTTCACTATACCAAAATAATTAAAAAGCATCCAAATTTTGAGAGTAGGGATGGGTGAGGTAACTTGACTTTACCAGCCAGTATGTTTGAAGATAACAATAATGAGTGCCATGCATGTTGTATGGTATGCAGAATTCAAATTTGTTATAACTGTTCAAAGTAATTTTTGGATGACTTATCGGATGCAACCATCTATTGCAAAATGCACCATTTCTTGCCTTTGCAGCAGACATGATTCAGCATATACAAATGAAGCCAAATACAGTACAAATTCCGTAACTCATCGGGACTTCAGCGATTTGGGATTAGGGGTTTTTCCGAATTATAGATCATCAATTTGAATCTGGTAAGATGGCATGCAGAAATTATACAATTAAAAATATGCAACCATAATTTATGAAATAAAAAGCAATTATGATGTAAAGGGTATCAAATTTTACAAAAAAAAAAAGCTTAATATTTATTTGTTTACTTTATTAAACATTTCTTTCAACATGCGCATGCGTAAAGCATACATTACACATAGTCAAAATTAGAAAATTGCAACCAGAAAACTTTTTAATGTGTATTCGTGATATTTATAATGATGAGGAAATTGATTTAAATCATATCGGAGTACATTGATATGAAACACTACATTTAGTAAGAATTATAAGACGAATAAAATAAAAACATCTGCCCTGAAGATGAGGATAGTGCTAACAGATCAAATTCCAGTTCATTGCGCGTCGCGACGTCACATCCTCCCCCCCTCCCCGACAAGGCAGCGTGAAATTGATAAACAGATTTCGGAATGGTTAGAGAAACAAATCATTAAGCCAAACTGTTCTGATTACACAAGTAATATCTTGCTAAGTAGGGGAAAAAAAAAGAGGTTCATTTAGACTATGTCTGGACTTAAACGACATTTAAAGCCTGGTGAATCCCTTTCCGAATATTTAATTGCCATGCGTGAAACAGCCAGTCGCGGTTCTGTTGATGATTCATTAATTCTTGATTATGTAATCAATGGGATACCGGATCAGAGTAATAACAAAATTATTTTGTATGGGTGTAAAACTATTTCTAAATTCAAAGAGAAATAAAAAATTTATGAGAAAATTCGCATTCCAGACACGAAGAATAAGGATTATTCAAGTACTAACACACAAAATAAAGCATGCGCTATACCTAATGAGAGTAAAGAACCAAGGTGTTATGACTGTGGAAGTATAGGGTGCATAAGGTATGCGCTTTCTTTACGTGCATGCGTAAAGCATACAAAAAAAAGTTTGTAGCTTTGAGGTCCGGATTATAGATCATTCCGGATAATGGACGTCCGGATTACGGACTTTGTACTGTACTGCAAGTCATATATTTGCAAGTCATTTTAAAATTTACTATTTATGTGGTTTAAAAAAAATGCCTGAACTTTCATGTTTATTTTGTAATTTAAATTGTCAAACTGCCTTATTTTTTCATTTAAATAAAACTGTGTAAAATCAGGATCATTGTTTTTGATGACCATGTATGTGGATAGTTATGAGTTAAACGGGCATCATAAGGTGCGTTCAGACGTGGGCGTAAAGTGCATAGAGGAATAGTCATAAGGGCATAAATTACGGGAGACTCATTCACACCTGCGAGAACGAGGTGTAAGCCATGGCCAATGAGAGAAGCTAAATTTGCGCATGCGTGGAATGTCTACAACTTTCCCGCGCTGTTCTCCCGCTCAATTGATTTCTCGCGTTCGCTGTGCTTGTTTTTTTCATTGTGTCAGGGCTTTTTCAGCTCGCCACAAAGTTTTACTGGCTCAACAGAATGATCTTTTATCTGCCCTTCTCATTAGCCAAGAGGCAACGGAAGAAGGTAAAAAAAGAAAAATAACGAAATGGTCTAGAGATATTTTTTTGAAAGACCAATACTTGGTTGGTACATATCTTTCTGTACAAAGCAGTATGGAATATTTCTGCATTGTACTGTAGTACTCTCTATACTATAAACATGCACATGCATATTTATATACTATATAAAACCTTCTTCAATTTTTATACATAATTTCTCTTATTAGAAATACGATATTCTAAATATGCCTAATTAAAAAAAAATCTTGAGGATAACTAACAGATAGCCTGTATATAATATTTTTCCATTTTGCAGGTGTGAAAGCAGTTAAGCTAAAAACAGTACTTACCATACATTATTATTATTATTATTATTATTATTATATTATTATTATTATTATTATTATTTTTAATTTTCAATCAAAAGGAATAGTTTCTGTGACAGTGAAACATGTGTGCTTAGCACTCCTATTCACTGTCCCTGTCGATCACTATAGTAGTTTGCTGCACTACCAGTATCAATTATCACTAGTACTAGTATCCCACAACTGGTCACAATGACCAGCAAACACAAATAGTACAATACTAGAAAACGTTCACCCAACAATGTATTTTATGCTCAATCATTAAATACATTTTGCTGTCTTGCCAGCTGTTTGTATACATCTATTTTAATAATTTGCATGTATAAGCCCGCACCCCTGAATTAATTTCAAGATATGCGTCATTTCTATTTACGACCACATCTCAAAAGTAATTTCACATTGACAAATTTTAGGTACCCAAGTCTTCAAATACATCAAATTATAATCATTCATACCTTATCCAGGAATTTCTACCAGAGAAATAGCAGGAATTTAATGATCGAAACTCATTCAATGATAGTAATAAAGAGTGGATAATAATAACAAATACTATTCATTAAATTATAGTCCATGTTATGGATTAGTGTGCTATTAGTTTCAATAAAAGTAAATTCCTTTCATGGAGAACGTAATTAAAAAACAGAACAGACAAAACTGGACTTCAACAGGAGAAAGCCGCTTCGTTTTAGCTTCGCTCTGATTGGTCGATGCTTATCCCAAACTTGGCGTAAAGTTGAAACCTGGAAACCTTGTGCCACGAACCTTAAACCAGATTATGTGATGTAGCACAGACTGGTTGCCTTGGCAACGGAGCTCGGCTTTAACCACTTATGCCCTTTATGCCCTCGTCTGAACGGGGCCATACAGTATTGTGAAATTCTGTAACTATTAATCTCATGTTGAATTTGGTTTAGGTATTTTGCATTATGAAAGTAAGCTTTGTCTGGAATAAGTTTGATCTAAATTTAATGCAGTACTTAAAATAAAAATAACTTTATTTAATTTCTCATTAATATTTTAACGTATATATATTTATAAAAGTTTTTTTTTTTTTTTTTTCCTCTCTCCTCTCCTCTCTAATAGGAGTTGACTGTGGCATTCCTCCAGAAAGTACTGGTGCATCTTATGGCCAGTATATTGATACTCGTTACCAGTCAAGTTTTTTCTTTGGGTGTGAAGATACTTTTAATGTAGCTGGTAAATCTGGAAACGGTGATAATATTGTTAGATGTATGGAAGATGGTACATGGGATTTTGGTGACTTAAGATGTGAAGGTATAATTGGCATTCTTTTTAATGATGCAGTAATAACTATTTCTTTACATATTTTTAACATTAGGAGTTTTCATTTTTATTAATTTTTTACTTTTTAAATTCAGTTAAGCAGTTTAATAAATTGCTCTCTAACTAAGCTACTTTGAATTATGCTAACTACTTTACTATTCTAATTCCACTTTGAAAAACATTTCTATTTGAAATATCAAATATTTATATTATATAACACCAATTTTTTTTTATTATGTTTTGATTTTAAAAGTTTAAAAATGTAGGTTCAGTGTGAAATATACAATTTAATTTTTTCTGATCTTTTTATTGATGGAAGCAAAAATAATTCGTTAAAAATATAAGAGCAGAAGAAATTATAATTTTTTTCCCTAGATTTGGTAATATAAAGAATGTTAAAGGGAAGATGGTAATTAAATTATAGTTTCACTTTGACTTTATAGTCAATGTGCATTAAAAACAAAAACAAAATAATTTTTTACAGATCAAGCTATGAGCATCACTTCTATTATAATATTTAAGACTATAACTTTGTTGTTATTCCTGTTATCCGTTTGATTTTTATTTAGCTATAGTAACAATGAAATAGATCTATGGATAGTAGCTTTAAGACAGCAAATTTTTGTAATTTATTTTATCTTTTTACTAGGAATATATAACATTTGAAAATATGAGGTACTATAGAAATTCAGGATATAAGAATTTTGAAAAATTTTAAATAAAATTTTCATGCAAAAGTTTTATTTGAAACTACTAGAAGATGGCTGAAAAAAAAATTAAGCTGTTTGACTTTAATATCAGCTAAGAAATTCAGTATGTTTTAATAGCAATTCAGTAAAATTGTTCTTGCTTGCATAATCATCAAGACATTAATACAGTAATATTTGGTGTTATAAGTCTGAATAAAAACTGATGAATACTTCAGAAGGAAGAGTTAGTGTATCTATGCATGAGGGAAAATGCACAAGAATGTCCTATGCCTTTGTTATCGATTAGAATGAGTCTTTTAATTGTTTGGTTTTTTTTTTTTTTTTTTTTTTTTTTTTTTGCAGGTAAGTATTAATTCTTTTTTGATAATTTTTTTTAAAAAAATTTATCAATTTATTAAACTATTTTTATAAGTATTAATGCATGTTTTTGCAAAGTAGCTATAGACATTTTGGTATAATTGCTTTCCTTTTCAAATTATCTGCTATGTAAGTTTCATAATGCATCTGTACTTTGGGTACTGTTTGTTTTAAGTGCTTTACTTAATATTTTACTTAATATTTTAGTTCATTCTACTGTAATTCATCTTCACATTTTAATTTATCTCCATTTTTCTTTTGATTAATGTGCTTCATAACTTCAATAAAGCCTTTTCTATAAATTGTGTTAGAGTTTAAAATTTATTCCCAGCAATCTTCACAGGTTTTATATCCTATAGAAATGTGTAAATATGCTTTTATTTTCATATTTTGTTTCCACAAAAATAATCTAATGACAGTTATTCTATTATCATAATACTAGGGCCTGTATGTGAAGATCCTGGACGGCCTCCAGATGGTATGCAAATGGCATCAAGTTATGAACATGGTTCTGAAGTGATGTTTAGTTGTGAAAGGCCTGGATATATCCCATATACTACTGATCCAATATCTTGCATAAAGAGTAAGTTTACTAAATTTAAAATACAATTTTTAAGCAATTTTTTTTTTACATTTATTATGTAAGATACAATTGAACTGCAGACAAAATTAATTTGTTCTTAAATATGAATAATTTATTTAATGAAGTTCATTTTTATGTTATTGACTTTTGCATTTTAACTTGATGCAAACTGTATATCATTTACTATTTTCCTTAAAATTTTACTCACTGTTTAGACTGATGATTGCATATTTGTATGCCTGATTAACTGATTTTTAGAATTCTTTAAAGTTAGAATTTAGTATGAATTGCCTTGCTGTGTACATTTTATAATGTAATATTTTATTTACATGTTTTATGAATTACATTCTAAGAATTTATTTGGTTAAAAAAAAGTGTGGTCTTCTAGTGAAATGAATTAATTTTTTTAAATCTGTTAATTCATTACTGTATTTGTCATTTTGCTATTTCAGTGATAAATATGTGTTGTTAATTTCAAATTAGTATTTACTATAAAAAAACTGATAGCTTTTTGTGTTACTTTTTAATTTTTACACAGAATGGTATAATTATTGTTTAATTAGTAATTTTAAGTTTTGCAAAAATTTGCTAATTCATTTTTTATTTTCGTTTATTTTTCCAGATGCTGAATGTAAAGCTATTAAGCCAATAGGCTTAACATCTGGTATAATTCCTGATAATGCCATAAATGCAACATCTCAGAGAGTGAATTATGAAGCCAAGGTACCTCATTATATAATTCTGAACTTTACTTTTGCTCTTAAAATTTTGTCATAATATCTGAAATGGAAGTATTATAGACAAACATTCCATTAAAAAGTGGTGCATATTATTTACAAAACTAGCCATTAAATTTTAAAATAAATTAAACTAAGTATTTTTGTTTCCCAACCTAAGCATTGGATAAATTATCATGTTATACAATATATTTTAAAGTACTATTTTTTTATTCACTTTCTGATGACTAAACTTTTCAAATTTACCCACTTTAATTTCATATGCCTTTTTAATAAAATTTTAATTTTAAATAACATTCATTTTTTGAGAATTTAGATGCATGCATTATAATTTTTATACTGAAGTACATTTTTTTAATTAAAATCTATAATTCTAAGGTGTATTAAGTCACATAATCTTTCTCTAAAATTTCATGAAATGTGAGATTCAATAAATTACACATAACATCTGGTCTTAAATATGCATTTCATGTTTTCATGAACAGAATAAGGATTATTCAAATCCTTGTATTTTTTCTATACTATCTTTTTAATAAACCTTTTTTCAGGATTACTGAACATTCATTGTTTGCATGTAAACAAATTTGTAGGAGAAAATATTGTTTTCAAGTGATGCATAATTTTTATTTCAGAATATCCGCTTAAATAGTGCTACAGGATGGTGTGCAAAGGAAGAAACTTTCACATATGTAACTGTTGATTTAGGACGTGTTTTCCGCATTAAATCTTTGTATGTCAAAGGAGTAGTTACCAATGATGTTAGCGGAAGGCCAACAGAACTTAGATTCTTTTACAGAGTAGGCACTACAGAAAACTTTGTTGTTTATTTCCCGGTGAGTCTAATGACACTTAATTTATATTACATATATATATATAAAATTGCAATCTTGTAGCAATGATCCTAGTAATGCATTGTAGTAAAATTGTGTTCTGTTAGTCAAATTTATGTGTTTTTTTATTATTTATGCTTTAAGTCTCATGATATTTTGATATTTATATAAAAAAAGTATGCTTTTACGTTGTTAAAAATAAATTTTGCTTAAAATAGTTTGAAGGGAAAAGAATTACATTGAATCCTTAATTATTGTGTATGAAATTTAGATTTCATTTTCCTCTTCAGAGAAAACTTTATAAGACATATTTAGAAAAAAGTTATCATTATTATTATATAACTAAGAGATGATAACTTATATTTAGCAATGATCAAGAGCAATTGCTTTACAAAATTTTCAGCAGTTCTTGTTAAGGCTCATAGTCACAGATGAAGGGGGGGAAAACTGTAAAATTTTCTATTTAAAAATTATTATTAAAGATAATTCGCAGATTATAGGTAACATATTGTTTAGATTTAAAAAAGCAGTGTTTCTTGAATAATAAATAAAGTGTAGTTTCTTTTAAACTGAATAACTCCGAATTCATGGTAGTCAGAATCCCTGAATTTCATTGTCTTCATGAAAAAATATCAGTTTTAAACATACTTTATTGTAATTTTCTACAATAGCATTTTCTCTAGAGCTTTTTCCTGCAGTTTGTTTTCCCCATAGTTTTATAAGAAACCGTAAAAGTATTTTGTGTCCAAAATTTTAAAGTAAAAATCTGTATCATAATTAGTTGAGATGGCAAATTTTGAATGGAAAGAAATAGATCAGTTAGTAAAAGCTACGTTGTTGATATTTAGGGAATCATTTTTCAGTTTTTACTATGAAAATGTCAAAAATTAAATATTTTGCATATTATCTTCATTTTGTAGATTTAATAACTATATAGTTTAGAAGAAAATCCTTTGTGATTGATTAATATGATTTTTTGTAAAATAAAATTCATTTTAGTGCAAAACTGAAAACAAGATGCTTCAAACACTTTTTACAACAAAAGCATAATGACTAATTTAAACTTCTGGCATATCTTATTAAACTTTCTTCTTAAAGAATCTGGCAAAAATTAGATAAAATTCAGCCACAGATCAGTATCCATTTTAATGAGAAAAATATTTTGCTTCTTGAAGAAGAGGTCTTTTCCTGTTGGATTCATTTGAAGTACACAGTAATATGTGAACTAAAAGTTGAATTTTATCTGATATTAAATTGTACTATGTAGTTATATATTGATTGTTTGCAGTACTGAACATCCTCCAAATTTGCCTTGATAAAGTATTTTCCATGGAGACTTTTGCAATGGGAATGCAATTAATATTTATATGCATAGAATAATGGTGAAAAATTCCAGTGCTCCTTGACACCAGCTCGTTTGTTTAGAAATAAGTTCTGAAGATGTAATTGTTGTTAGTGAAAGAAATTTAATTGGTAGCATTGGTATAACATAGCTAATATCAGACTGTCGTAGATAGTTGCTTTCTGTATTTGAGACTGAAATAAGAAATAAAGGATTTTAAAATGTTAATTAGTTTTTGTATAAAAAATGTCATTAGTATAAATTTTATTAGGAAGGCCGAAGGGAACTTTTTTAAATTAGCTTAATTATTTAGGTTTTTCACATGATGTTAGAATGCATACTTTATTACATGTAGAACATTTAATATTCTTAATTGAACTTTTACTATTTAAACTGTTTATTTATTACAAATGCCCAGGAGATTAGCTATGACACCATTAGATCTTTAACCTTCCAGTATTTCTGAGCTTTACGGTTTAAAAGCACAAGTGCAGAGCATGAGTCAAGATGAGAAGGATCACAAATGTGATGTTGTTCATGCAGAGGACATAAAGGAAAGTCACAACACCCAAGCCAATGCAAGCATGCGAGTAAACAATCATGGCCTGTAGTAAGGTGGAAAAGTGCCTGGGATCAACTTTGTATCTTCAAGCAGTGAGGCCCAAGGCTTACTGGCAGAGTCACAAAGTACTCTCTGCTTTATCTTGGAGGCATATCTTCTTTTTATTAGGAGTTTGACTGAATGAAATGATAGGTGTTTTTTTTTTTTTTTTTTTTTTTTTTTTTTTTTTTTTTTTTTTAAGGTCTTTGGAGGACCTTTGCACTCTTTGGCCAAACAGTTGGCAGCCTCGTTTCCAGAAATCCCACAGTGAGCTGGGTTCCACTGGAAAGAAACAGAGATTGACACTGAGAGCTCTCTGCAATCCAGTATATGGTATTTTCTGTGTATTGTCTATTTGCAAGAGATTGAAGAGCAGACAAAGAGTCTGACAAGAGCACCACTTTGTAGAATGATGAAGGGCGGATAGCCAGTTGCTTTAATGCGATATAAATAGCCTTGATCTCGCTATCATAATGGGTGGAATGAGCACCTGTTGGTGCATAGCATGAGAAAAGATTACAGCACACACCTGCTCCTGCTCCGTCTTCATAATTAAACATTGATCCATCTGTGTAGACATGTAACCATGTGTCTCTAGGGTATTTGTTTTCAGTGACAGATAGAACAATGGCAAGAACCTCTTGTTTGCTCATATGACTCTTGTTAAACTTCATATCCAGCTTCAGACACACTGAGATCTCTCCATATTCCAAAGGGCAAACAGGCCTACAGAGAAGCTGAGGATTGAGATGGACATTCATGTCAGTGGCTGCAAAATAAGCATATTGTATAAACCCTTTTTGAGTTTTAAGATTTCTCTCTGCGTTGGTGTCGTAATCCCTCCAAAAAGTATTGTTGGGCAAGCGAATCAGCTTTTCATTAAAGAAGAATTGCACCTCTTTCAATTATGTTTCTTACTGGAGGGTTTTGAGTTAAACACTAGAATAGTTGCTAGAATAGGAGTGGTTCTTACAGCACCCATAAGAATACGGAGAGCTTGATTTTGAACAATTTCAAGTTTTTGAATAGTATTAGTAGCAGCAGAGACCAGAACATCATGACTATGACTGAAGATTGGCTGAATGAAAAGCTTGAAGAGGATATTCGAAGTATCTCCGCTGCAACCCCATTTGCAACCAGCCTATTTAACTATTTAAACCATTAAAAGGAATATATAGAAATTATAACTAAAGCTTTGAACATACGAAACAAGGAAGAGCATACTATCCTGTATCTTAGAATTTCTTCGATCATTTACTTTTTGGATGAATATTTGGATCTTATCCTATTTTAAAACAATCTGTCACAGTTTTTTTTTTTTTTTTTTTTTTTTTTTTTTTTTTTTTTTTTTGTTTTTTTTTTTTTTTTTTTTTTTTTTTTTTTTTTTGTTTTTTTTTTTTTTTTTTTTTTTTTTTTTTTTTTTTTTTTTTTTTTTTTTTTGTTTTTTTTTTTTTTTTTTTTTTTTTTTTTTTTTTTTTTTTTTTTTTTTTTTTTTTTTTTTTTTTTTTTTTTTTTTTTTTTTTTTTTTTGTTTTTTTTTTTTTTTTTTTTTTTTTTTTTTTTTTTTTTTTTTTTTTTTTATTTTTTTTTTTTTTTTTTTTTTTTTTTATTTATTTGGGGATCTTATGTTTTTTTTTTTTTTTTTTTTTTTTTTTTTTTTTTTTTTTTTTTTTTTGTTTTTTTTTTATTTGTTTAAAATTCAAACTTTTCTTTTTTTTTTTTTTTTTTTTTTTTTTTTTTTGTTTTTTTTTTTTTTTTTTTTTTTTTTTTTTTTTTTTTGTTTTTTTTTTTTCTTTTTTTTTTTTTGTTTTTTTTTTTTTTTTTTTTTTTTTTTTTTTTTTTTTTTTTTTTTTTTTTTTTTTTTTTTTTTTTTTTTTTTTTTTTTTTTTTTTTTTTTTTTTTTTTTTTTTTTATTTTTTTTTTTTTTTTTTTTTTTTTTTTTATTTTTTTTTTTTTTTTTATTTTTTTTTTTTTTTTTTTTTTTTTTTTTTTTTTTTTTTTTTTTTTTTTTTTTTTTTTTTTTTTTTTTTTTTTTTTTTTTTTTTGTTTTTTTTTTTTTTTTTGTTTTTTGTTTTTTTTTTTTTTTTTTTTTTTTTTTTTTTTTTTTTTTTTTTTTTTATTTTTTTTTTTTTTTTTTTTTTTTTTTTTTTTTTTTTGTTTTTTTTTTTTTTTTTTTTTTTTTTTTTTTTTTTTTTTTTTTTTTTTTTGTTTTTTTTTTTTTTTTTTTTTTTTTTTTTTTTTTTTTTATTTTTTTTTTGTTTTTTTTTTTTTTTTTTTTTTTTTTTTTTTTATTTTTTTTTATTTTTTTTGTTAAGATAAAGTGAAGAAAAGCTGTATTATAGAAATAACAAATAGTTAGTGTAATCGAAGCAGGAATTTACTAATGTAGTGAGATACATAGTGAGATTTTATTATGTTAAATCCTAATTTTATTCATAAAATCATAAGTAAAAGTACACACAGTTTAAATTTTTTCCATGTAGGATCCCTACAGAAACCTAAATTCATTTGTTCATCTGGACAAAAAAAATCCTTGTTTGATTTGATTATTAAGATGAAAGTGAAGATGTATTATTGGGGTTACAACAGCGGTTATCCATTCTTAATAAATATTATATAAATTTGCAATCATTTGTTTCATTTTAAAACTTATAACAACCCTTGAGAATGGAAAAACTTGTTTTATTTGTCTCATTTCTCTGTTTAACTGTAATATTATATTACTATTATATAAATCTAAAGAAATCTGAATTTTAAAAAATAACCGGTCAGCCACTAGAAATTTACTATCTAAATTTATGATATTACAATCTTAGAAATGAAATTAATCTTGATATTTTAGTAGAATAGCTGAAACTTTTTTAAAGGTTATATGGTGCTTAAAATATTCAGTAAAAACAAATATTACTCTAATGTATTAAGTATTTAATATTGTACATGCTAATTTATTTAGGTGTACATCTTTTCTCCTAGTTTTTTTTTTTTTTTTTTTTTTTTTTTTGAAATATCAAATAATTTAAAATATTTTTAATATATTTATCAAATTTCTTCTTTCATTTATATTATTAAATGTACATTTTTATGATAACTTTTTTAGCATTCAATGAAGAAAATCTGTTAACATATTAAATTTCTATCTCTATTGATAATATACTATTTCTAAATATAAGCTATGTATGCCAAACATAAGAGTTTCCTACAAAAATCAACCAAAATTGAAAATTAGCGTATAAACAGAATTTAAAATCATCATGTGTATTGCTAAATGGGTAAATAATGTGATTATGTAACTAAGCTAATAACCAAATCCTTATCTGTTCAAAAGATGCACCAAAAATGTTTGACTGATTGTTCAAATGGCATATCTGCAGTGCTACAGACGAAACTAAAGAGACCATTTTCTATGAGGTGTATGACAACTTTTTTAATAATGAAATGAAGGATGATGAAATTCATCTGTATTTGTTTGAAGTAGAGCGAGACTTATGAGCATTGCTAACAAATTCTGAATTGGATAGTGATATTGAGAAATTTGATTAACACTCCAGCCAGCTAGGCCTTATATATACATATAAACAAAATATGTGTAAATCTCTAATAAATCAGACTGGATCGCAGTTAAAGTAATAAACAGAGGAGCGTTCTTCCACACAACATTTATTCACGAACACCAAAGACGAACTGATACATATACATAATTGACATCACAGTTTCTTTTTACAAACAAACACTACCGCCATCTATTGGCGATCTGTGGATACACAATCCTAAACTTAACACTCCCCCCCCCATGCATCCGTACAACGGATGCATCAATTTTATTACTGAACTTCAAGATTATAAAGTCTTTCAATTGGTCTTCTAACAACACCCTTATCCAACTGAATCTCACAAGATCTAATTCTATCATCTCTTCCATGAAATAATTCCTTAATCCTACCTATCTTCCAGTTACAGCGTTTCACATTATCTTCTCGCACAAGTACAACATCATTAATTTTAAACACGGGAGAATTCTTTGGAGTTTTTGAAAACATGACTGATCTTAATTCTAACAAATATTCTTTATAAAACCTTTTCCAAAAATGCTCTAATATTAATTGCCTATGCTTCCATCTTTTAATCAACTGAGATCTTGTAGATTCTAGTTTAGATTCAGGTGAAGGTAAAACAGTCAATCTAGATCCAGTTATAAAATGAGATGGTGAAAGAGGATCAGGTTCATTTGGTTCATTGTATACATACGTTATAGGTCTAGAATTAATAACAGCTTCAACTTCAACTAAAACAGTATACAGTTCTTCATAATATAAAGAAGCTTTACCTAAGATACGTTTTAAACAAGTTTTTTACAGATCTTACCAAACGTTCCCAGAATCCGCCCCACCAAGGAGCACCTTCTACAATAAATTTCCATTCAAACCCATTTTTACCAAGGAAATTTAGAACCTTTTCATCTTTACATAATTTATACAAATATTTTAATTTTTAATTCACGATCAGCAGTTTTTAAAGGTTTTAGCATTATCAGAATATATAACTTCTACAAATACCCCTACGTGCAAAAAATCTACGTAAGGCTTGAATGAAACACTCTGCACTTAAATTTGATAACAATTCTAAATGGACTCCTCGAGTCACTGCACAGGTAAACAATGAAATATACACTTTTGTACCATCCTTTAAATACAAAGGGCCAGCGAAATCTATGCCACTTACCTCAAATGGTTGAGCTTTCTCCACTCGGTCAGCTGGAAGAGGAGCCGATATCTCGTGTCCAGCTTTAGCATTATATTTTTTACAAATTTACAAAATCTACAATCATGTAACACAGATTTTACAAAACGTCTAGCTTTTAAAATCCAAAATTTCCCTCTTACTTGCACTAAAGTTTCATTTACACCACTATGAAGTACCTTTTCGTGACAATTCAAAATAATTAAACGAGAAAAATAATTATTTGGTAATATTCATCGACATCTAATGATGGTTTCACTAATCTACTTCCAACTCTTAAACAACTTTTTTCATCCATTACTGGATTTAACCCAAACAATTTGGAATTATGAGACAATGGTTTTTTACATTTAACATCATTCAACTCTTCAAACAAATACTCACCTTGTGATAAGATAATCCAATAACACATAGCATTACATATTTCATTTTTGGTCACAGGACCAATCACTCTATTCTGTGACTTTAAATTATTAATGAATCTAAATACATATGACGTGACTCTTAAAAGTTTACCTAAGTCACTAAAGTTTTCTATTTTTAACACAGGTTGTAAAGGTTGAACACTGCTAGTAACTTGAGTCACAACTCTTTCTTCAACACTATCTACTATGTTACAATGCTCGTTCACTTTAGGCCAATTTATTTCATCTTGATGAAGCCATGGAGGTCCATGCCACCACACTTGATCTACTACAAGATCACTCACTTTAACACCACGTGTGATTTTATCGGCTGGATTATCTGAGCCAGGACAATGATGCCACATGCTCGGGGGATGTTTTGTCTTGAATTTCAGACACACTCGATTTTTTGTACGAATGTTTTCCATCGCCGTGGTGAGTTTTTTTATCCAATGAAGCACAATAAAAGAATCTGTCCATAAATGAATCTTAGCTTGAGGAAAATGCACACGGACTGTAGTTACAAGTCTTGCACCTAACACTGCTGCCATAAGCTCGAGTCTTGGTAAAGATAATTTTTTTCAGGGGAGCCACTCTGCTTTTGGCTATCACTAAACTTGTTCCACAATATTTTAAGCTACGGAATTTCACGTACACTGCTGCTCCGTAAGCACTTTGAGATGAATCACAAAAACAATGTAGTTCCAGTGTTTCAGGCGTTTCATCAACATCACGAAAATACCACCGAGGTATCTGGATATTAGGTAGATCACATAGTTGCCTATACCATTTGTTCCACTTGTCCTGCAATTCTGGTGGGATAATTTCATCCCAATCAACACCTTTCAGCCATAAATCCTGAAACAGAACTTTTGCTTGAATAACATATGGAGCAAGAAACCCAACAGGATCGAAGATTTTTGAAGCAGCTTTTAAAACACAGCGTTTTGTTTGGTCATTTGACTGGATGAAATCAATAACGTCTTGTGCATTAAAACAGAAGATATCCTTAATTGTATCCCATTGAAGTCCAAGAATCTTTGAGGGGAAATCACAGTCAGGCAATTTAAAGCTAACGAAGTTGTCACTTGATTGATTTATACTGGTTTTTTACAGTATCCGAATTAGAATTCCATTTGGTCAAAGTCATTGATGCCTTTTTCATTATATCATTGGCTTCATGATATATCTGTATAGCTTCCTCCTCCGTATCTGATCCACAAATAAAATCGTCAACATACATGAAGTTTTCTAACATTTCTACAGTTCTGGGATGGATGTCTTCAAATTTCTTTATATGATGCTTAATGCAAGCGCTCAGCAAAAATGGACTTGATTTTGCTCCAAAAATTACACGACACATCCGATAAACTTGAATTCTCGGATTGCTCAAACTTGAATTCTCATCAATCCACAAAAATCGCATTGAATCCCGATCTTCAGGTGCAACAGAAATTTGCAAAAACGCTTTCTCAATATCTGACGTAAATGCAATTCGATGAAGTCGAAAATTTATTAAAACTTTCAAAAGTTCAGGAAGAAGATTTGGTCCTTGTAGTAAATTATCATTTAGAGATTCATGATTTTTTTTTTTTTTCCTTTGAAGAAGCATCATAAACAATGCGAAGTTTCGTAGAATTATGATCTTCACGGATGACAGCACGGTGAGGTATGTAGTAAGTTCGTCTCCCAGATGGAGTACCAAGATCGACCTTTTCTATGATTTCTTCCTTAAGCTGATAGTCAATCACTTCTTTATATTGCGCATAAAAGTTCAAGTTTGATTTAAATTGTTCGATCAGATTTAAGAAATCGTCTTTCAGCATTCTTAAAATTGTCTCTTAAAGTCACATTCTGATCTTTCCATGGAAGTCTAACTTCGTATCTATCACCCTTTTGTGTAATCGAGTTGTTAAATATTTGCATGGCCATTTCATTTTGTTCTTCGTCAGAAATATTTTTAATTCCTATAGATTCAATATCCCAAAACGATTCGACGCTTTTTAGAAGTTTCTCTTCTACACTTACGTTTAAACACGCATCATGGATTTGAAAGTCTGATGAAGGAAATTTGCCTTGTATACACCACCCAAACAAGGTTTTCATAGCTACGGCATTTCTGTTTATCCTTTTTATTTCTTCGCTTGCTATTTTCCACATAATGTCCGCACCGATTAAAACGGAAATATGACTCATTCCATCGGCGCCACCACAGTCTGTCAAAGTGATGCCGAATGCTTGGAGGTTGGATTTGATTTCTACATCTGGTACTCGTATATCGGCATTTGTTATGACTGGTACTTCAATGACTTCGAGATTTATGGATTTTTCAGGGTCATTAATATTCCGGAGCGTAAGTTCAACTTTCTTTCGACGCCAATGTTTCCCGTTCTTTTCACCGAAGGTATGCAGATTTAAAACAGTTTCTCCTTTCACTGGTAACTGTAATTTTCTTGATAAATCTTCTCGAATTGCAGAGATTTGGCTACCGCTACCGCCGTCAAGAAGACATCTCACAATACAGTTCTTATTTCTGCCCTCAGCCACAGCATACACCGTTTGAAGCATAATATTAGATCCAGTTTTGGCAGAAGAATTTTGAACAATTTCCGCGGATGTTTCGGTTTCCTTATTTTTTTGCACTGGAGACAGCTGATGCGGGATTCACACACACACTTTCATGATGTTTACCGCGGCACTTTTTGCAGGAAAACTGTTTGTTCTTACAGTTGATAGCTAAATGTTTACATCCAAAACACATAAAACATTTTCCTGTACGTTTCAAAATGTTGCGTTTCTCATCAGCATTCACCTCAGTACATTTATATTTCGTATGATCTTTTTTGTCACAAAATATACATTTGTATCCAATTGTTGATAAAGCTGAAGCAGTCGGAACTTTCGGTTTATAATTCGGATAAACTTTCGTGCGTTGTTCATTTTGACGAAAGTATGGTTTCTGATTCGTTTTCGCAGAGTTCATTAAACTTGCAGCTTCTCGACAGTTAACTTCCTTTTTTAAGAATTCTATAAGTTCCTTTATATCAAATCCTGCTTCCATATTTCGACTTCGATTAAATTCCAAATTTAATTCCTCTGGAAATTTCTGCAAAATGATAGGACAGAGAATATTTCCATAACTTCCAGAAGTAACGTTTAACGATTCTAAACTTCGAATGTTGACTTCGCATTCATCGTACAGCTTACGCAGTGCTTTAACATTTGAAATGTTTCCCACTGGTTCAAGGGATAATAATTTATTCATATGCGAAGTGATAACAACATCTTGTCTTCCAAAACGTTCTTTCAATATTTTCTACTGCGGAATCATAATTCTGGTCACTTAAAGCGAAACCGGAAATGGCAGCTAAAGCATTACCTCCAAGTAAGGATTTTAGGTACGCAAATTTTTCAGTTTTTCTCAATCCACTATGATTATGAATTGTATTTTCGAACTGGTTCCAGAAGTCTAACCATTTACACGAATCTCCGTAATAAGTTCCGATTTGCAGACGTGGCAACTTCACTGTTTTCGTTTCAACTGGAAGTGCAACATTAGCCGTTCGTTTCGTTCTGATGAACTGTTCTAGAAGATTCCGAATTCTTCTTCAAAAATCGTTGCATTCTTCCTCTCCATATAACAGTTTTATCCTGGTATTCTTGACTTAAGGTAACTTCATTTTCAATCTCCTCCGAAGTTACTTTCTTTCGTTTCTATTTCTATTTCTGAATCTAAACTTTTCAGTTCATTGATTTTCTCAATTAACTGTTCATATAAATCCTCGATTATCTCAATTTTCTCATTTAGCGGAATATTATTTGATAAATTCGATTCGACTTTGGTTATCAGTTTCGTAGTTAATTGTCTAACAACCGATCGTTTCTTTTTCAAATGTTCAAGAACGCCCTCCATTTTCGAAATATTCAGTCTGTCAATTTCCTGGTTTGTAATAATCCCGGTTTGCAGGCACCATAAACAAAATATGTATAAATCTCTAATAAATCAGACTGGATCGCAGTTAAAGTAATAAACAGAGGAGCGTTCTTCCACACAACATTTATTCACGAACACCAAAGACGAACTGATACATATACATAATTGACATCACAGTTTCTTTTTACAAACAAACACTACCGCCATCTATTGGCGATCTGTGGATACACAATCCTAAACTTAACAACATATAAGTATATTTTTGGTAAAAATACATATGTATATCTTGAAATTAATCAAAATATTAGATTAGGGTAATAAAAATAACAAAATCCATGTATTAAATACCTGGGGTTTTTGATATTGTAATCAAGAAATATACCTTTCTCAAGGCAATTTGCTTTTTGGAGCCAAACCTTTGTATTCTTGGAAATTTAATATACAGTACGATTAAATAAATAAAAAATTAGCTATTTACCATACATTATTATGCTTTTGGATGAATTATTTATAAATCACTCGCATATAAACCAATATCCAAACTTCAGTAGTGAAAAATTTATTAAATTTCTTGGCTTATACATGAAAATATATGGTAATTGATTTTTGATCAAAAATTTCTTTTAATTACTTAATTAATTATATGGGTTGTTCATATTCAATTTGTTGATTAATAAATTTTATAATGCAGTATTATTTTTTATTTATCAGATCAAGAGCCTCCTCACTTTATCAATTGTCCAGATAAACCTATTTTAGTTGCTAAATCTACAAATGGTTTGCAACTTGTAAATTTCACAGAACCAACTGCTATTGATAATTCTGGAAGACTAGCTCGATTTGAAGTGAAACCTGCTGGATTCAAACCACCAGTGATGGTTTTCGAAGATATGGTTGTGCAATATTTTGCCTATGATTTTGATGGAAATATTGCTGTTTGCTCTGTGAACATAACTGTTCCTGGTAAGACTGCTATTTCAATAAGGTCAATTTATTTAATTTATATTTTGATACTTCACTATGGAATATTCCATTCTGTAACGATAAAATGATGTGCAAAATTCTTATAATAATAATAATAATAATAAATATCATTAATTTCTGCTGATTTTTTACTTCCTTGTACGAAGTAAAAAGAAGTATTGTAATCGCGAAAAGTTTCAGGCAGCATATTTCAACGAAAATATACATTTTGACCGCTATCAAATGCAATTTAACGATGTGTTTTGCGTGATATCTGTGCGTAAGGACAGAATAAAATGCTCTTTTCCTTCAAAAAAATTATAAAACTGCTTTAAAATTAATTCTGAAGAGAATTTTTCGTGACATCTGTACGAACGTATGTATGTACATGTGTATGTACGTATCTCGCATAACTCAAAAACGAGTAGCCTCAGAACGTTGAAATTTTGTATATAGGACTGCTATAGCATGTAGATGTGCACCTCGTATTTTGGTTGCAATCGGCCCCACCAAACGTATATAAATATATATATATATATATATATATCCACTCTGTTACCCAGCTCAGTGATCTCAGTTTCTTTACTCTTATATGTTTGTAAATTGTACATTTTTTGCTTTAAAAATGATTGAATTATGTTTTTTTTATCTTTCGGTTAAGGATTTTATGCCTTTAGTAAATCTGTGTGCAATATTTTTAGAATTATCAGCAATTTTAAAGTTGTTTAATTGCCACTAAGCCTGTTTTAAATGGCGGCCATTGATGTTTACATTTGAAACAGGAGACTAGTGGATTAGTTGCCAATCTAGAGAAATTTAGCTTCGCAACAACAAAGATAACGCCTTCATTTATTATTGCCAATTAAATCATGCTTAATTCTTTCTGGAATTTTTTCGAGAAAATAAGTGTTTAAGATTTACTTTGTAATTTTTAATATAGATATTTTGAGTTTTTTGTTTTTATGTTTTTTTTTTTTTTTTTTTTTGCCTTCTCGCGAAGTGAGAACTGAATTAATTAAATGAGAAATACTCAATCCTCTGTGAAAAAAAAACTGTTTCTTTTTTGTTTTTTTTTTTGTTTTGTTTGCTTAATTTCTTTTATACATCATTCTAGCTAGCTTTTTATAATATTTGAATAGAACATGTGGCAACGATTAGATAATTCTATTCTTTAAATGATATAAATTTTGGGCATTATGAGTTATAATATGAATGAAATATATACGTTAATTGTTATATAATTATTGGATTATATAACAGTTAACTCAGTTTCCGTTATATAATTATTATATAAGTTAACTGCTGTATAATTATTAATACTATTAAGTGAATCTAGTGCCAGAGTGTCACTATGGTAAACAAATACTAGAGTGAATTTTAAAGAATGCATTTATTGTATTGTGGTTTATGCGCTGTCGGCGAAGTAGATTTAATTCAATCCAATAAGTTTAAATGAAATGCAAGAAAAAATGCATATAATTTAATATTCCAATACAAGGAAGTCCTGTGGTGTACACATCAGATTTTTTATTTCTCATTTTGTGCTAATATCGTTTTCTGTTTAAAATTTCAGATGATACTCCTCCATCATTGACATGTCCTCAGTCATATGTTATTGAATTAGTAGAAAAGCAAGATAGTTACCGAGTAAATTTTGAAGAAGTGAGAAGAATGGTTAATGCTTCTGATAATTCAGGAGATGTGAATATCCAAATTGCTCCACAAACTGCGTTCATCAGCCTTGGAGGCTATCGCAATGTTACTGTTCTTGCAACAGATAAATTTGGAAATCAAGCAACCTGCCATTTCCAAGTATCTGTACAAGCTGCACCTTGTGTTGATTGGTCTTTAGAACCACCAGCAAATGGTGATGTTAGCTGTGTTCCTGATGATTCAACCTCTGGTTACCGCTGTGTAGCAACTTGTAAAGAGGGATATAAATTTACTGATGGTGCACCACTGAAAGAATATGAATGTGCAAATGGTCAAGCTTGGGTTCCTGGAAGTATAATCCCTGACTGTGTTTCTGAAGGTAATTGTATTATGCTATTTGGGAAATAATTATAACCATTGTTAATAAATATTACTATAAGAAGAGATTGTTTCAGTATTTAAAATGCAAATGGTAAATGTATAAAAGAATAAAATAATCCTCTAATACTTATTATTATCAATTAAATTTCACACAACCTATTTTAGTATATAGGACTGCTATAACATGTAGATGTGCACCTCGTATTTTGGCTGCAATCGGCCGCACCAAACGTATATAAATATATATATATATATATATATCCACTCTGTTACCCAGCTCAGTGATCTCAGTTTCTTTACTCTTATATGTTTGTAAATTGTACATTTTTTGCTTTAAAAATGATTGAATTATGTTTTTTTTATCTTCCGGTTAAGGATTTTATGCCTTTAGTAAATCTGTGTGCAATATTTTTAGAATTATCAGCAATTTTAAAGTTGTTTAATTGCCACTAAGCCTGTTTTTAATGGCAGCCATTGATGTTTACATTTGAAACAGGAGACTAGTGGATTAGTTGCCAATTTGGAGAAATTTAGCTTCGCAACAATAAAGATAACACATTCATTTATTATTGCCAATTAAATCATGCTTAATTCTTTCTTGAATTTTTTCAAGGAAATAAGTGTTTGAGATTTACTTTGTAATTTTTAATATAGATATTTTGAGTTTTTATGTGTTTTTGCCTTCTCGCGAATACAGTTCTTCAGCTTTACAAGGCAGAAATGCTGAGATTTTAAATGAGAAAGATTATAAACTGTACCATAAGTCTACCATTAAATGTATTTTTATGTTATGAAAATACTGCTGTAACTAGAATTAATGAACTTGAAAAATTAGTTTCATTTTCATAATTAAATCTGTGTTAATCTTAATTAAAATTTCTTTTAACCATTTACAACTATCGATCATTTTGTTTAAAGTTATTTTGTAATACTTCATATGTCTGCAAGATCTATATTTATTTATTTATGATTTTATACAAGACTATTTGAAAAAGTAACAAAATATTGACCATTTTCAATTTTACTTTTCAGTTCATTTTTTTAAAGAAAAAAAGGGGGAGGAGGGAAAAAAATGAAAATATTGTTTTTTGTTGGTTTACGCATAGTTCAAAGAAAACTATGCTTTATTTTGAAATGAGCACATAGGTATAGGGCAATTTTTGCAAGAAATATTTATTGCCTTCAAAGAGCTGTATGACAGGAAAATATGTGCCAGTCTATGCATGCTGTCATTTTTCAGGCCTTTCTCAAACAGGCAATCAATTTTAACATTGGAGCAGATAGAGAAGCTGCCTATATAGCAGTTTGATAAATACAAGAAGTGATCTCCTCTTTTTCATATCAACTAGAATTATTTTAGTCTCTTACATTTCTCATTACTGAATCTCTTATGGCTCAATTTTATATTGCATTATCACTATGGTGATCTCTTAAGTCTTCCAGTGTGCTAGTTTATATAACTCTATCAAAATGAATAAAATGTTCTGTTGAACTATATAAACTTAGTTAAACTGCAATATATAAATTAATTACAATTAATTGCAACTCCGGGTAATGCTGGGGAACAGTAATTTCATTATCTTAGATCACCTGATTTTGACTAACTTTTGGTCTCTGAATCCACAAATAACCTCCGTTTTTGTCTGTCATGTCAACTTTTTAAGCAACAGGATATTTTCTCATTGTTCAAAAGTCTCACAAAATATGCATATAAAAAGAAAACTTGTGAAATATGCCGTTCACAAAAAATAGTGTTATTAGTACAAAGGCTGTCTATAGTTACTGCATGTTAAATTGTATTCAGACAAATAGTAAAGTTTTTTTTTAACATGCATATTAAGGTAAAAATTTTCTCATATGGCTTTTCATGGAGTGTTTAATCTGTGGACATTCTCACTTAATGCTCCAACAATATTCAGCCATCATATATACATCCCATCTACCTTGATATTGTATCTCCATGACCTTCAGATCTTGGTGAGATCGCCGACCCTGCTCATCACTGATTGCATCAAGATTTTTCCAAGGTTATCAAGATGGCTACGTAAAAATTGCAGTTTGATGCTCTTGTTGTAACCAAGCATTCTGAAGCTCTCCAAAAGTTGCTGGACAATTTTTCTATAATTCTGTGCACATGTATTTCTAAGAAAACTTTTGATAATGTTTTTTAATACCAACCAAGCATTCTTTTCAAGTTCTGCCATTCTGATTCATCTTTAAGGAGCTGCCAAATCTGTAGACCAAACACACTGCACTTTATTTTTTCAAATGATAGGCTAGGAAATGTCGAAATGAGATACTTGAAACAGTCTCCTTCAACTGAAAAAGCTTTAACAAATTGCTTCATGAGACCCAATTTTATATGCAGAAGTGAAAATATAATGTTCTTTCTGTCAGCAAGTGGCTGATGTGGAATGTTTGGATCATCAGGTTTCAGGTCAGATCTTGGCAGCCAATTTAATTGCACCCAATGTTTCTCATGAACTCTGCTCTCCTACATACACAAAAAACAGGGATACTTGGTATAAGTGTGCAACTGGCCAAGGAGGAAGCAGACCATTTTAAGGATAACCATATACCTGTGATGGTACCATTGGTACCTGTGATGTTACAAAAATCAATGACTCTCTTTATGTCTTCATATTCTTCAAACAAATAAACTGAATGGCCTCTGGAGCTGTACCAAATAAATTTCCATTGTAGAGCACCTGCTTCGAGCTCTAGTTTGAGCTATCGATGAACAGTCTTATAAGCTGGAATTCCTAACTCTTCCATTCCTTTATTCAACTCATGCTGGTCAAATTCCTTACAAACAGAATCATATTCAGTTTCAAATTCTTCATTGTTGGGATCAATTCAGTATTCACCAGAATCATATTCCTATATTTCCAAAGAGAGTAATTCTTTAGAAACTGCACTGGGAGTTCAGCTGAGTGAGGCACTGGGCATATAGATGATGTTAAACTAGGGTACTCCGTCTTGCATTTGTTTTTCTTTTTGTATCCTAATGTTTTCAACTATATAAAAGTACAAACACTTGAGTAATCTTTGGGCTTTGGCCAAATCATAGGTATACCAAATGGAAATTTAGAACATGTTTCCTTAATCCACATCCATAAAGTCTCGACACACTGCTTGCATACTTTGTGATAGGCCTGTAATTTATCTTCATCACCAATTTCCACTTTAAAATAGGCTTGCTTGAGAAATGTACTGATGTTTGTCCTTTGATTGGAGTTATAAACCTGCTACATATACAACAAATCAAAGCTGTTTAAGCACTTATGGTGTGAACTAGCAGAGTCAAGCATAAGCAAAGATTTCAGTTCATATATAAATAAAAACTACACACTGCTAAACCTTGTATATTCAGACTAACTCGGATTGCATGTCAGAATGCATTTCACTATACCAGAGCAACATACAATGTCTCACTATATCAGAATGCATTTGCATGTCAGAATGCATTTCACTATACCAGAGCAGCATACAATGTCTCACTATAGTATCTCAGACATAACTGAATTAGTCTAGACAAGTATGTGCCTATTGCTGGTTTCCTACAGAATCATTCACCTGGCAGCAATCGGAGGGTTTTTGTCAGACACTAGAAAAGCAGTAGTACTCTACCTATAATCCATGCTCGATGATGAGCAGAGTGATCACATTCACATAAGGTGCAGATAAAACTTAATGTGATAGAAGAAAACTAACTACAGTTTTGAAATCAGCATACCTATTTAACTCTAAAACGACTCAAAACTCGAACTCAACAGAAACTGTGTTACAATTTATTCCCCATTAATAGAAGTGCATAAAACTCGTGATAGCATTGCTTATGATAATTAGCATTACATAGCATAGTATGCTTCAGAATAATATTGTTTTTAAATAAAACATTAAAAACTTATAATTAATAAATAACAATTATTATTATGATCGTTGTCAAGAAGTGGGCTTCCAGCCTGCTCTGGCTTTAAAAGTTAACCTATGCACTTTGTATGCAACATGATTCATTGCTTCTTTTAAGGAGGGCATTCTTCTGGAAATCTCCCAGGTTTCATTCATTCTCCACACAATTTTCATTTCCGTACATTTTGATCTTTTTCATTTGAATTAAAAATATTTAATTTTTGAATAATGTTTTCATTTTATGTGCATTTAAATTTTTTGAGATTTTTCTTAAATTTTTTTTCATCTTGTATTTTATTTTGATTTGAGCCGAACAATTTATAATTCCTGGGACTATAAAATTTTAATTCGATTTCTTTTATTTTGTAAAGCTTCTATAATATATTCATTTTGAAAGTGGTTTATTTACTTCCCCCCATGTATACTAAGAATATCTGCCAATTTTACAAAATTTTTCATAATTTTGAAAAAAATTGATTGTTTTATGATCTTGCATATGAAATTGACTTTCTTCGAATTTTACAATTTTTGTGAAGGTGCCAAAAACTGTGCCAGTTTGAGAATTTTTCATCAAATCTGTATTAAACCCAAATTCTTAGCAGACATTCAGATTGCCATATTTGATTTCATCCTGTGTATTATATCAAAGTTCTTACCCTTTTAAAACATGAATTATTTTGTTATGTATCATCAAGTTTAATATATCAGTATTTGGGCAATTTTAAGACCAATTTCTGTACAAAAATTTTACGTCAATGATTTCTAAATTTTAGGATGATATTTTGGAGCAGGGGGAGACAAATGCTACAAATCATTGCTATATTAATAAAATAATGGTATTATACTAAAATTAAGTATTTGGGAGGTAAAAGTAACATTAGTAGGAAATATTTTAATTTCTCTTTATTATATTTAAACATGTTTTTAATTTCATTTTTGTGATTTTTATATACTTTAATTATGAAATTTTAATGAGATGATAAATGTCATAAAACACAATTAACTTCATATTTTATGATAGTGTTTTCCCCATTTGATTATTTAAAAATATTTAGATATAAGCTAATTTTCTTTGGAAAATTTACTTTATGTTTTTCCTGAATTCTTTTTCAAAAGTCTTCTGATTTTTACTCTTATGAAGTTGGCAAGCATGTGATATGCATGTAATAAATATCACTTTATATATAAATTTAAAACAATATGTATTTTTTCCTAGACACTGACGAGGCATCATATGATGTGGTAGCTCAGATTGAATATAGGGCTGGTGGTGCAGTTTCTGTTCCATGCTTAGAACAATATGTTTCATATGTGAGAACCTTTTATAGTTCCTTGAATGACCTTCTTTCTGGCCGTTGCTCTGCAATAAATGTTAAGATGGATATATCCTTCCACAACACTACAGTGAGAATGATTGCTGAAAATACAGTAAGTATTAATTTATTAGGATACTTACTGCATATAATTTATATTAATGTATAATATAGCATAGTTAAAACATTCTATATACATATATATATTCATTTGCTTATAAGTTGTTATTGATTATCATTTATTTTTATCGGCAATTTAGAGCAAATTTGCTTTGCCCTTTTCTTAATATGTTAATCATTAGTAATTCCTTATTGAATTTTATTCATCATATGGCTTTGTATTCTCCCCTTTTTTTTTATTGAATATAAAGGGTAGTTCCCCACTTTTTGGGACAGTGCTGAAGTCATAGATATTTATTTCATTCAGACTAATGAGTAAAACTGTGGTACGTATATTGATGACATCATTACTAGCAAACATATTTACAATAAACCATTGCTTAGTCATTTTATGTATTTATTTATTGCTTGTTGAGGGATTTAAATTAATGGATATTCAAATAATCTGAATCTTTCTATCATACCTGAACTAAGGTGAAGTGTCTTGGTAATTTCTGCACAGAGGCTATGCTACTGCAAGAGACTATATTCACTTTTGACACTAATAAGTTGGAAACTCTGGCTCTGCTGTTGTAGTGGCCCAGTTATAGCATGAGAAATAATTATTTTTTATTTCATATATTTGTTCATGTGTTTAATTATTTTATAAAATTAACTTTAATATTTTGTTTAATATCATATTTATATTTCTTTTATGCTGAATGCCAATAAGTAGTTCATATTTATATTTAAATTTCTTTATGCTGAATGGCAACTAGTTCTAGTTCTGATTCATGATTGCTAGGTTTTGGTTTCAAAACGTTGCTCATAGCGTCGCATTTCGATAGCTGGAAAATAAAATGCAATAACTTAGCTATTTGTTTATAATTCATGCTGTTACTAGTCATAAATTAATTTTTAACATTAGTAGCCAAGTCTACACTGTCAATTTATCAGACTTTGCCTCTTTTTAATATCATATGTGGGGATGCTCATTAAAAAGTTTAGAAAAGATAGATTGGCCTAAATTATGCAATTCAGTTTTTTTTTTTTTTTTTTTTTTTTTTTTTTTTTTTTTTTTTATCTTTGTCTTTCTGATAATATGTGTAAAGAACAGTGATTCTGATTGTATTAGACCATATTAGGCAGCAAACAATAAATGTTTATCAACTACTTTTTTAATATCGACAGTAATTTCGTATCAGGTCTTGCAAGGCTTATATAGAAACTTTATTGCCCCTTATATTTTAGAATGCTTCTTTAATTCTATTTATTGTCTGTAAAAGAAATGCACTGCTTTTATATAGTAAGTAATTGTCTTGATTAACTGAAAACTTTTTATTTTTAGATTATTATGACTTACACACTAAGGATCAAACCTGCTGTCAGTCAGACTTTGTTATATGATCTATGTGGTTCTACTTTGGGGCTTATATTTGATTTAAGTGTTCCAAGTACATCTGTTATCATTGAACCTATACTGAATATTACATCCGTAGCTGTTGGTGGACAGTGTCCTGGAGTGCTTGCCATTCGTTCTAATGTTGACAGAGGTTTTACGTGTGGTATTGGAGAAGTGCTAAATGCAGATAAAGAAGGGCAAATTCCCAACTGCTGTAAGTCATAAGTTTTCTGGCATTAATTAAACTTACTTTACTTTGATGTAATTACATAAATTTGAATAATTTTGTTTATATACAAAAGAGCTAAAATAAGTATATATTATTATACATATATATAAACCAAGATTTTGCACATTTTGTTTTAGATGTGCTATATATGCAGTGTATCTTAGAGTTTTAACTCAGAATTTCTTCAGCAAGTCCTAGTGAATCTGCTTAATGATAATGATTGGCAATGATTACATACATTGTTCCTAATTTGCTTGCTTTGAAATTCTAGTGGCTTAAGTTTAAATGCAATTTTATGCTTAATTTCATTCAGTTAACATACATTGTTGTAGATTCAAAGGCTGAATAACAAGAAGCAGTAACATCTTTTTTGAGCAGTGCAACTATTGTCAAGCAGTATATTGCAAAGGACAATGCTGTATCAACTTTTTCATTTTCTTTATTTGCCTGATTTCCTACCTTCAGGCTAGTTCACGTTTCATAAAGTGAAGTTTCACATTAAAAAGGATCATTCTGAGAATGAATTAGCTATTCAGAAAAATGTAATAAGGAAGCAAAAGAGCATTTTAACAGTTAATTCCTAATTAACAAAGGCATCCCTAAATTTATAAGGTCTGTGAATATGCCAAGATATATAGAGAGAGAGAGAAAAAGAAGAAGAAAAGTCTGCAGCATGTAGAAAAAAAAACTGGTGACAAACTTGCTCCCATCAAATCTTAACTTTGTATGCATTTATTCTTAAAATATCATACAGGCATTTTATGTGTGGGTGTGTGAGAGATAGAGAGAGAAGAAGGAATCTGTAACTATCTTGAGGACTGGGGAACTACTGTATAATTTGAATGATACATAAAGGAGTGACTAGCAGATAGTTGTGGCTATAGATATATAAGATGGTATTTATAGACAAACATGACTGAACATTGGACATAATTCATTGCTGTATTTGTTAATATTTTCACCAGATAAAAAAAAGGTTCAAGGCACAATTCTCACCTTCCTGTAAAATAACTTTTAATTATCTGTTAAATATTACTTTCTTAATTAAGAGTTTAGTTTAATAGAAACAAAAGTCTTGTAGTCCTGGCACCATAGCCAGACCAATTAATGTGGTTGTACTGTATGACAGAATTTGAAGTTATGATAGAATTTATGAATGGCGGAGATTTCATTTAGAGGCAAAAAATTCTAGCTTTGGCCCTAAATCTTGTCATCTATGTTGAACATCAACTACAGTCAAAAGTCGTAAATATGGACTCGTCGGGACTTCGGCGATTCCGGATTATAGATCATCAGTTTAAATCTAGTAAAATGGCATGAAGAAATTATAAAATTAAAAATATGAAACTGTAATTTACGAAATAAAGAACAATTATGATCTAAAGTGTATCAAAATTTACAAAAAAATAAAAAAGCTTAATATTTATTTGTTTACTTTATTAAACATTTCTTTCAATGTAAGTTGTTTAAGTTGCTTCGTTTTTATGTGTTAATACATTCTCTTTAATTCTATAAACAAACATAATTTCTTGTTCAGTTACAAAGTTCCGCTGTTCAAGTCCTATAATTGCTGTGTCGAGAATACCGACTAATTTGTCAATCGAAATTTTTTCGTTTTCCTCTGTCACTTTCTTCGTCATCAGAAGCAAATTATAATGACGAGGGATTTGATTTAAATCATATCAAAGATGGAGCATATCGAAATGAAATACTACATTTAGTAAGCAATTATAAGCCAAATAAAATAAAAACATCTGCTCTGAAGATAAGGACAGTGCTGACAGATCAACTTCGAATTCATTGCACGCGGCGTTAAAGATAAACAAAGTTTAGATAAACAAAGGATATGCCTTTATCCATTTTTTGCAGCAATTCCACTTTTTGTTTAATGGACTCCGAAACATACTTTCACTTTGTAGATTCCTTTGACAGTTAGTCCAGAATAAATCGGAAATTTCTATTTTGACATAATCGAAAGTTCAAGCTTAATTTTTATAAAATTGCTCTAACAGTCTGCAAAAAAATAATAAGCCGGATCCAATTCGAAGATTAAGGAACAACGCAATCTGCAACATTAACTGAAATAGATAATTAGAGCTTAGCGTATACCGTCTGTTATACATTAAACGCACATTCGTAAACGTATTTTGCGCACGCGCACATGCAAATTCGCAGCCGTAAAGGTCTTACGCGCATGCGTCAAGTCGACGCATGCGCAGAAAGTTTGTAGCTTTGAGGTCCGAATTAACGACTTTTGACTGTATAATATTTGTTACAATATCTTAAAATGCAGGAATAAAAATTTTAGTGTTTCTATTTTAATTTAATTCTATGGTTGCATCTAGTAATTATTGAGATTAAAAAGAATCTTTTAATTTTCAATTAATATTTTATGCTAATAGAACTCAGTTCCTTAAGAATATCTAATCACTTAATTCTTTAAAGTGCATATGCACTTCATAGAATATTGCTATATATATTGATGCTTGAAGAAAATATTTACAGCTGTTGCGAGAACCCCCTTGCACTTTTTTAACTATCTAAAAAGATGTGCTGATTTAAAAAAAAATTCTTAAAAAAACCATTTGAACATTCTTAAACATTTTCCTTATCCATTTTTTTTTTTTTTTTTTTTTTTTTTTTTTTTTTTTTAAATCGACTTGTCTTAAATGCTAAGAACTTTTACTTTTTCTGTTCATAAATCAAAGCTTCACATACAGTGGAACCTTGGATTGTGAACACATATCATCATGAAGAAATTATTTGAAAAATAATATCAGATGATGACCAGTGTCTTGAATTTTGAATACTTAAGTTGGCAGTAAATGATTTTCAAAGATGTTTTGAAGTAAACACTACCACAGAATTAACACTCAGAAACTTCCAGAAACATCATTTTCACATTTTCCATTGCTGAATTTTCCTTAAACAAAGTCTGGCAATGTATTATGAATTCTTACATGATACACTTATGCAATTATTAATTTGGCTTGGAGGAAGTTATGGCCAGTTTGTGCTATAGTCAGAGACTAAAATCTCTGGCACTCTTGTTTTGTTATGCATGATATAATGTCTCTAGGCAAAACCATATGCTTGGAAGTTAATACTGAAGCCATGAAGAAGTTACTAAAGAAATGTTATAATGGGCATAATGAGAAAAAATTAAAGCAACTTGAGAAAAAGCAATAAATGTAGACTGTGGAAGGAATGTTTTCAGAAAAAAAGAGGAAGGATTAGTTCTTGATCTGTGAAATTTGTGCAAAATAGAGTATGGTATGATATTTTTTATAATGATGTCATCCTGATAAGGGTCCTGCAAGGTATCCTTTTAAGGTAAAGCATAAGTATTTTCAATGAAAATGCCATGACTCACTTTAGAGACATTTTAAAATATAGACAACAACAAATTTTGAGTGAGCTGGAGACCCATTGAGTCTCAAGCAGAGTCGAGAGGACTTCTCCATTAAACAGTAGCATTTCTTTCCTTTCTCTTCATCATCATTTCCATATACCATCCACTCTTTGTAGATTTAATTCAGATAAAATTAAGTTTCTATCCATTTTATTAGTTTAATGTTATATTTGTCTTTTTATCTTTGATTTAATAATTTCTATTCATTTTGTACTATGCAAAAGTCTGTTGAAGAGTTTAAACAGATAATCATTTTAGTTTATGAATATTTTGAATGATGAATGGCCTTAGGAATGAATTACATTTGTAAACTGAGGTTTTAATGTATCATATATTTAAAAAATGAAAGGAACTCATATAGGTTAATATTTACATTTAATTAATGAAAGAAGTTATAAAAAATACATGTAAATCGGGTTTAATTAATTTAACGTAATAGTTTGAAATTTTGAAATAGAGGCGAATTTTATTTGAAATTTTTATTTCCCCCCCCTAAATAGTGCATTGTCCAGCTGGTACATATGCATCATTAGATGGAGGATGCATGTTTTGTCCTCGAGGTACTTATCAAGATTTAACACAACAAGCGGAATGCAAACAATGTCCTCTTGGGACTTTCACTAAACAGGAAGGAAGTAAAAGCATAACAGAATGCATTTGTAAGTTTTTATGTATTTCTATTAGAAGATACATTAGAAAAAATTATTATATCACATATAGCATTTTAATTTGAATTTTTTATGTATCTATGTTTTTTGTGTAATTATTTGCATTTAAATACTTATTTAGTTTTGTTATCAATTTTAATGTTATTGTATGTATTTGCAAATGATATAATCAAACATGTAGATATCTTTTGAATCACATAGGCAAAGATAGAGAATTTTAAAGAAATAGGACAAATTTGTGAAAATTTCTTAACAGTTAGACTTTGTATAATGAAAATAGGCAAAAAATTTAAAATGAATACTACCATAATTAATTTAATAATGAAGCAATAAGGTAATTGGTTTAAAAAAACAGAAAAAATCAACTGAGTGAACAAAGATGTCAATTTAAAAATATTCATAAAAATAACAAACTGTTGATTAGTAATATTTTAAAAAAGCAATGGAATTTATTTTAAAAAATGGCAAATAATAAATCTGACTGAATAAAACAATTGTAAATAATTGTAATAAAATATTAATTAAATATTTCAAAATTTAAAATTAAATCTGATGTATAAAATAATCAGTTTACTCAATTGAAATTTAGTTACGTTTAAAATAAAGTACTCTAAGGAAATAATTAGGGCCATAAGGCTACATTACTTTCAGTGAGATTTGCTATTGTTCTTATGAATTCAGTTTTAAATCATGCTGTGGATTTTTACTCAGGAAAAAATTCCATTATTAATAGGCAAAAAATGCAGATGGAAAATTGATAATTTAATGAAAAGTAAAATTTTAAAGAAATAGTTATAAATGTATCTGGTAAATTAATGAAATAAATAGCATAATAATAAGTTAAATATATGTTATAAGGTATAGTTGTGCCTATCTTATTTTTTAGCTGTTTGTGGTTATGGTACTTATTCTCCAACTGGTCTTGTCCCATGTCTTCAGTGTCCAAGTAATTCTTACACTGGTGATCCTCCTGTTGATGGATTTAAAGAATGTTTCAAATGTCCAGCAAATACTTACACTTATTCCCCAGGATCTAAAGAGCCATCTGATTGCAGAGGTATGTGAAGTAGTAATTGAAATTAATTCCATGAAAATATAAATTTGATGTCTCATTATTCATTATCAAAGAATCCTTTAAAAAAAGTGAGTTTAAATGAATTGTTAGAGAGAAATGCATTAAGAAACTGATGATTAATTATTGTACATCTTAAAAATCTAGAAAATATCCAAAGGATGGAATATTTTCCTTGCAACATAAGTGTCATTCATTTTTGTATGTTTGTTTTCATAAAGCCATGGATTTGCTTATTTATCTAGACTTTAATGTATTTTAATATAGCTGATTTTAACATTAAATATTGATATATTTGCTGCTCATTATAGTAAGCCCTTATGTTCTATTCCCCTTCAAAGAAAGACATAACAGTTGGTCACTATAAAAAAAATGGATTTAATATACTGTTATTTGAGAACTTTCAGCACCAGTTGTCATAATGGAATGATTGCTTATGATTTGTAAATAGGAATGCTGATAATGAACTTAATTATATTGGAGAAACTTTTACTAATTAAGTACAGTACAAAGTCCAAAATCCGTACTCGTCAGCACTTCGGCCGATTCCAGATTTGGGATTTTTCCGGATATTAGATCATCAGTTTAAATCTACTAAGATGGCATGTAGAAATTAGAAAATTAAAAATATGAAATCATGATTTATGAAATAATTAAGTATTTATGATCTAAAGGGTATCAGAATTTACAAAAAAAAAAAAAAAAAAAAAAAAAAAAAAAGAGCTAAATATTTATTTCTTTACCTTATTAAACATTTCTTTTAATGTAAGTTAATTAAGTTGCTTCATTTTTTGTGCTAATACTTTCTCTTTTATTCTGTAGACAGATGTATTTGCAAATGATATAATCAAACATGTCATCTCTTGTTTAGTTACATTGCTGAAGTCCTGCTGTTTCGAGAATTCCAACTAACTTGTCAATCAAAATTTTCTCGTTTTCAGTAACTTCTCTGTCACTTTCTTTACTATCAGTAGCAGTATTTTCTGGATCTAGAACCATACTACGGATTTTGCCATTCATTAATTAATTGATGATTGAGAAGCATTGTCATCACAATGAAAAACTTCTTTTATATCATCTTCATTTATTACGGCTTCTCCACATTTCTTTGCAAAATCTGTCAATTGGAAAATTTCACCTTTTTTTTTTTTTTTTTTTTTTTTTTTTTTTTTTTTTTTGCGATATCTGAAAACCTTTAAAATTAGTGGCTCTCATCATCAAATTTAGCTATCCTTCACTATACATATTTGGCTATGCATCATGAGCTTGGCAACTAAAGACAAGTTATTCCATTAAATTTTATTATGCATGGAGTAGGGAATCAAATGCACATGAGTAAAGCCTACGAGAAAACGTTGTTGGTGGTTTTGAGGTCCGTATTTTAGATCATTCCGGATAATTGACATCAGCATTTCAGACTTTGTACTGTATTGTGTATTCTAAAATTATAATATTAAATCTTATTTTTACCTTTTTAATTAATTTTATCAATAACTCAACTGAAAATACTTTAATATTAATTGATATATTTCCCATAAAACTTTAGAGCTGTTTGACTGATAGTCAAATTCTCATTATTTAAAATATTTCATGAAGAATTATTTGTAACATTTCTTTTACAGCTCGTTGCCCTGCTGGAATGTATTCTGAAACTGGGTTGGAACCATGTGCTGTCTGTCCAGTGAATTTCTATCAGTCACTAGAAGGACAGACATCATGTTTGGAATGTGCCTCTTCTCATACAACAGCAAGAGCAGGCTCTACTGGTCAAACAGAATGTGTTCCATGTAAGCTTATTTTTCTTGATTATGTCTAAGTATATTTTTCATACATTATAAACTGTTCAGAATTATTACATAAAACCTTAAATTATATCTCAAATTGAATTACTACAACCTTTTTATCTTTTTCATGCAGTTTCATTAATGTATGGGTATGGGATTATCTGTGACTCTTTGAACCATTAAATTCTGCATCCATCAGCTATTGAGACAATATGAAAAGAGAATGAATCTAAAAAAGAATTTAAAAAAAAATAGATTATATTGTGCAAAAAAAAATATTATGATTTCTGTTACCATGTTTACAATAAAATGCTGAAATACTGTTCCAAAATGTATGTTATTGTATTGTCAGATAAAACGGCAGAGAAAAGATTTTCCCTTAATTGCCAATCAAGCCTGATAATTATGAGTAATTTTACCATACCATCCAAAACTATTCATGTCCCAAAACTGAAATTTCAACAGGATTTTTTTGTGTACAGACACAAACAACAAAATAAGAAATAAAAATAAATTATGGCAGGGAAGGGGAGGCATATTTAAACTATTTTATCTTTATATTTATCTATTTTATCTTCACAATAATTTATTATCTTAACAACAGAATAAGAAATAAAAATAAATTATGGTAGGGAAGGGGAGGCATATTTAAACTATTTTATCTTTATTATATTACTTGTGGCTACAAATTGTTTTGATTTTATTTTTAATATTATGTCTTTACTGTACATATTAATAAGCGAATTAACTAAAATTCATTTAGTAGCTTAAATTTTATGCCAACTGTCATATTGTAAGGCTCAGGTTCAAATTCTATAAAAAGCAGGATGTTTGTAGTTATATATCTCTTTTCAATGTCTCAAGTGTAATGTCAGTCTATCCCGGAGCAGTATTCTTGGTCAGATAGCTAATTGACTATCGGGCTCTGCCATTCCTGACCAATGCTTGATGAGCAAGTATCTGGTTATTGAGGAGCTGAGAATTTTGATTTTTATCTGTACTATAAAACGCACTATGCAAAAAATTAATCTTCATTATTGATCTGCCCATCTTTTGATATTGGTGAAGTTTTTGTAAGCTATCAGTTCTCTTGTCTGTCACTATAATGGTCTTGAATTTGACTGATAATTGAAGTTCCACTATTTATATTAAAGAAAATCTAAATAGTTAAAAAATTGTGGAAAATTGTGATCCAAGGCATAAAATTTTTTATGTTCTTCTGTATGAGCTTTCTTTAGCATATTAGATTATTGCAAATGTCATACATATTTCACATTTAGATCATAGATTGCTAGAATGTTAATAAACTATAATAAGTAAAAATTTTAAAGTTTTGCCTATTTATTTAATGATTTATAGTGACATTTAAATTTTCATATTTAATAATTCCATATTCTATGCCATTTGCTTAATGATTGATGATATAAAGCAACACAGTTTGCTTCAGTTTATCGAGTCTGTTATCTAATGATTATGCAGAATGGTTAAATTTTGATTTTATTTTCTGGTGGGCTATCTTTTCAATAGCATTCTGGTTTGAATTTTTTTATGGAGTACCTTGGCAAAGCATCTGTTGAAATGAGAGCTGAAAACTGTTGGAAGAAAATAAAATTTTCTGTTTAAACTAATTTTAATATATAACAAAAATTTAAATATGTGTGTTTTCTTCAACTTAAAAGCAGCCTTTGGCATTATACATTGCAAATATTGTTGTCAATATAATAATATTGACAACAATTATTGTTAAACAATATTAATACAACAAATATTGTATTAATTCTTTGTTTCACTCATGTATCTGGTCTAAATAATTTGTTTTGTTCACAAATAGGATTGATTACTTTTTATTGCTTGCAGGTAACATAGGTGCGAACTTTCTTTTCCTGAAAGACAACCAGTTTTTTATCGTGTGTCTGAATTTCCTAGCTTTTAATTTTTACCCTTTATCAAGGAAAATGTTTCCCAGCAATAAATGAAAATTATTGAATTAATAAAACTTAAATTGGGCAAATTTCTCATAACTTTTCTTATCAAATTTTACTTGACTGAATTGTTTTAATGTACTGTAGATATTTATAGAACTTTTTACGAACAATGTTTAATCATCAATAATTGCATCTAACTCTATTTTATGTCTATAAATATTTCATTAGTAAGTTTATCCACATAAAATTGTGTAGGTTAATTATTAATTCTATTTCATTGTATATAAAAGTACTTTGATAAATAAAAGCTTTCCTTCTCTACTCAGGATTTTATTAATATAAAACAATTGCAAAATTAAATTAACCAAAGAACTTAAAGTTTAGAATATCTAATTAAATATTAACATATTTTACATCAAAATCACGATTAGTTCAGTAACCTGGATTATGTATTTTAAAGTGAATTTTACTCAGTTTGGAGTTCTTTTGAAATGACCCTGCTGTACTAAAATTTGATTCTTTTAGTTGTTGTTTGACATTGAAATATTTAAAATGTTTCATTCTAAAAATAATGCTAAATGGTTGGGGAAAACATTGTAAGGTATTTTTACATAAAATTGGTAACTTATATTTATTTTAGTGCAATGCAGCAGTCAGTCATGTCAGCATGGAGGTTTATGTCTCATTCAACGACATCATCTCTCTTGCTATTGTCCTGCTGGGTTTAGCGGTCAGTTTTGTGAAATAGATGTGGATGAATGTGCAAGTCAACCTTGTTATAATGGAGGAAAATGTAATGATCTCCCTCAGGGATATACTTGTGACTGCCCACCAGGTAGATACAATACTGATTTACTCATTCTTAAATATTCATATTTTTAGTGTATTTTATCCTCTTGCAACTAAAATCCATAATACTTAAGGTTTTGTATGAATTTCTGAATATTTATTGAATGTATTTTCACTATTATTTATGAGAAAAATCTTATCTGTCATCTGATGTATCATTCTTGTTTGTAGGAATTATATCTCTTTATGCAATTATTGATTTTTTAATTTAAGTATCTAAACATTTTCTGGTTGCATGAATTAAAGAGAAAAAAAAATTTCATGCTTTTATAAGTATTCAAGTATATGCTTTATGAGAATTTTACTTTTCTTTAATGTTCTGAAAATGAGTCATCTTTTCCACATTCCCAACAAAATTATAATATTGTGTACATCTAGAATTTTAAAGTAAGTTAAGTTTTATTATGGGCATTTAGGCAAAAAAAAAAAAAAATTTAGTCTTTGTGTTAAAAATCAAATTTTATGCACACTCTTATTGTCATGAAAGTTATTTATGAATGTTTTGCTAATAAAAATTAGGAAATTATTTCATTACTTATTAACACTTAAAAAATTTTTGATTTTACACAAATTGCGTGTAAAATTTTGGTAGTTTGCAGAGTTTTCAAAAAGACTTTTGTAGATTTATAAGTAACAATTATTTAGCATTTTATCTAAACCCAATTTCTTATTACAGAATTTAATTTTGTTACGTAATTATTTTGAATATTTGATTTTCAGAAAGTATGTTACCATATTTTTATTTTTAATTTCCATGCTACCAATCTTTTAGTCAGAAATACCTTTTTTTAAATACTAATAAGTATAAAAGCTCTTTATAACATTTTTTTCTTTGCATTTATATATTAAGTATATTTATAAAGAGAGTATTTTAATTTCCGAATATGTCTTAAGTTAAATGTAGTCAAATTTTGCTGCACATTTATTTCTAAACGATGCTAAAAGTGGAGGATTTGACAGTATGTGTAATCTGTGTCAAAATGAAACATACATAAATATTACTTATCATTTGAAATTTTTGTTCTGATTCTTGATGTTATTTTTAAAGTTTGACATGACACTTTCTGTAGAACAATCTATTTTTTATTATTGAGCAATATTTCACAGTTCATTGTATCAGGTGTTTGTGAAAACTTTGAAACCAGATTCCCTTGTTTGCAAACAAGATTTCACTCAAGTATGTGGTGGTCAAATTTTGACATAAAAGCATAATGAAAAATTTACCTCATAATAAAATCTGAATGTAAAGTTAAAAATCTGAGGATTTATAATAATGAAATTTCATTGCTTTCATTTTCTCTATCATCTTTTCAATTTTATTTTTGGTATAGTATATATTAATATGGAACATATTACCTCATCATATCTTATGGTGCTAAGCATGGGTATTAGATCTTCAACTAAAATTATAGAAATTAAACTTTTTATCACATTTTTTTATATTTAAAAATCTATTTCTAATGGAAATTGTTTGTGTTATTTCTAATGGAAATTGTTTTATTATTGATACCTGCTACATGATTAAATTAATGTGCATCTGTATTATAGTGTTTCACATTATTTTATTCAGCTAGATTTCTTAATTATTACAAATTTTATACAAGCTTCCCAAACATAATTTATATACTTTCATTTATTATAAAATATTAAATATTGCAGTTATACTATTGTAACTATTGGTGTTTCAAATGGAAATTTTTAAAGTTTTATTCACTTTCAAAATGTTTAATATGATTTTCTTTCATGATGCAAAAAACATCCAATTTCTAATTCACCTTAGCCTCTGTTCATTCATCACTGTGTTCATTAACCAACCTGATGGCAATAATGATCCTCAGTATCACTTCATGAATATCTTGGAAAAAAGGTCGAATAAATATTTTTACCTTCCCATGGTTTCATGAGAAATGGGATTTGAAGAATCGGGCAGACATTTTTTACCCCTTTATTTTGAATTTGTGATCTTGCAGTGTAGCTTTCTGTTAGCTTGTCATTTAGAAATTTACAAACTCTAAAGTTTTCTGACTTCATTAACTCATAGCTTCTCTGCCATTTATTGGAATGCTGTTGAAAGGAATCTTCAGTACATGTATGCCTTCACTCACATATGAACATTCAGTGCCTTTTTTCTGGACAAGATGCAATCAAGCATTTGAAAGGAATGCATTATGAAGCCACCTCCTTCATATACTTATAAAGTGGATTCTTGTAAAACTGTTTTCTCTTCTTTTGCATTTTGCATAACATGAAAGATCTTCTCTATGGAAGATGTCATTTTTGAAAATGAAAATTTGGTTTCAAGAAATGATAAGGATTTCAGTACTCCCTTGAAAAAAAAAATAAATAAACAAAAGTAAATGGCATAGGTTCAGCTATTTTTCTTGTATATAATCTCTGTAAGTGAATTAATCATTTTGGAATACCAAGTACATATAATAGTAAGTATATCTTCTGTATTTCTTGGATATCTGTGTAATATTTTTTGAGGATTTATTCATGATGTTTCAAAGAAGCCAATAGTGGCTTTTGCTGAATTTAATTTATTCAAATATTACATGTCTTATTTATTTTTTGGTGATTTTATTCAAATATATGTCTTATTTTTATTTATTTATTTATTTATTTGGTAATTTAGGGAATTATTAAATAGTATACATGATAAAACTGATTAATGGTTATATAAATTTCATTTTATAGGTTACTCAGGCCTGCAGTGCCAAATAGAAATATCAGATTGTACAAATGTCACATGTCCTGAGAGAGCTATGTGCCAAAATTTACCAGGTTTAGGTAATTATAATTGCCTTTGCCGCTCTGGCTATGAAGGTGTAGAGTGTGATACTACTGTGAATCCTTGCACAAGTGAAAGCAGTCCATGCAGCAATGGTGCAAGTTGTATTCCTTTATTGCAAGGGAGATACAAATGTGAGTGTTTGCCAGGATGGACGGGCAGAATGTGTGATGTTAACATAGGTAAGCCAGTTACATGTTATCAAATTAAAAATTTTATTTTAATTGCTTTTTGTTGTTAGGTTTATAGAAAATAGAGCAAATATCTAGTTTATGTACAGATTGCTTTTTTTTATTTTGTTATTTTTCTGGCTACCTAAAATTATAACTCTCATGTACAGCATTCCAAACAGATTTAGTATAGATTTAATAGCTACTGCTATTATCCTGACAGATTACCTCTTCATATGATTTCATTTTAACTCATCATACAAAAATGTTCTTTGGAAGAAATGAAAATATTTCTCCTATATTCCTTTCTCTCATAAGTCTGTATTCTTTATTATTCTGCTGCTTTCTTAGAGGTAAAAATTTTATGGATTTTCTGTAATTATTATTGAATTGTACCCTTAGTTATGGAATTATCAATATAGCAAAAATTGGCACATGAAGTGCAAGTGAGTAAATTGAAACATCAACGCCTACTATTGTGCTAATGTCATAATTAATATGTCATATCAACTTTAATCTTTAATTTAATTTAATCTTTATTGTGATGATGTTATATTTTGTGTATATTTTTATTAAAAACTATTGTGATAAATGTACTTAACATGTTACTTTCAGAGGCAGCAATTCTTTTAAAATATAAAATTACTGTTACTTTTTAGTTGTCATGAGATCATGACAAGTGCAAGCTGTATGTAAATTCTTATAAACTTATAAACACCAGCACTACGTGAAAATAACATCTATTTTAAAGGCAATACCATAGTTCTTCATTAAAAATTACTGCAGTTCTTTTGTAAATGCAGAGCTTTTATTCTAATATCCTGAATAATGTTTTTATTCAGAGGAGTGTGCTTGGAGAAATTATATTACCTTCTGTTATAGAAATACAAACATATTGGTGGGCAGTGTGAAAGAAGTCGTAGTTTTCTTCAATAAGTTTAACACTTTTTGCATGTCTGCAAGGATGTTTTTATTATTTTGTTCCCATAATTGCTTAAAATGCATCACTGAGGCATTTTTTAAGCATTTATGTGAAGAAAATCACTGCTTAACTGCTTAAAATCAAGTTGATTCATGAACTTAAGAGTTGAATAGTTTATTTTTTTTAAAATAACTCCAGAGGAGCTGTTACTCTCAATTGTCACTTTTTTTGTCCGTGTCGCTTTTCATATAAAAGAGTATTGCCACCAGATTTTATTGTCATGGGTTATTTTTAAAGAAATAATATAATGTATGTCAAAAAATGTATGATAACACAAATAGATGTTGGCATCAGATGTTATCACTATGTATTATTTTTTTATTATATATAATAAAATATAATAAATTATTATATTTATATATAATAATTTATTATATTTTATTAGTTTTAATAAAAGCCATATATTTTTTTATACTCACTATATTAAGAATTTAATATAGTATATAAAAAAATATATGGCGATGCTTAACTCTTATATCAAGAATTCTAAAGATGTGCTATTTGTAAATATTTTGTGATTTTGTTGTTGGATTTTTCTAATTGAAAGAAAGTAAGGTTTAATAAATAAAAGTTGTATAATTCATCTTGCTAAAAAAAACTGTATGGTCATATAATGAATTGAGAAAATACTGAAAAAATTAGTGGCAACATTTAACACTGTACTGGAATTTTAAATATATCCTACTTTTAAAAGCTTTGCGATTTTGCCATTAAATTTTATGTGTAAGTGTGAAGAAAGTGATGGTTAATTATAAAGTTAAAAAGACAAAAAAATCTGAATAAGGAGATGATAAACTGAGAAAAGACGGAAAAAATATAAAAATATATGGCAAAACTTAACACTCTATCAGGAATTCTGAAAATATGCTGCTTTTAAAACCTTTGTGGTTTTACTGCAGAATATTATGTGGCATAAGTCAAAGAAAGCTATGTGTAATAATAAAGATTAAAAAAAAAATTATGTTATTTGGAGTAAATCCAAAAGCAGATTGTTAACCTGTGACCTGAGTAAGAGCATAAAAAAATTTAACAAATCCTCTGGTGTGGTGTTAAAATCTGAATCCTTTCAGATTGTTTTTTCTTCTTCAAAGTATAGCATCTTCTGTAATATTCACTAAAATAATCTTGATAGCAACCAAAAATGGTACTTATTAATGAAATATAAATAATTAAGTCATTTAAAATTATATGAAACATTGTTACTTAAATTATGTATAAAATTAAAGAAATGAAATGAAAACTTTCTGAAATGTATAAAACATAATCTAAATAGTTTTGAGAAAAAAAGGAGTAACTCACATTGAAAATATTCAGTAATAGCTTTTCTAACTCTTGCAGAAGAATTATGTCAAATCAAAATATTATATTATCCATCTGTCACATAATTGATTTGTTTAAATGCTTCAGGCAGTGAAACTTTTAAGAGTTGAAGAATTTTGGCTTCTAGAATAACAATTCTGCAGCATTTCTGAGAATATTTATGAAACAGAGTAGCTGATGGATCTGAAAAATAGGCAGTCTCAAGCTAAACAAGGTTGGATGCCTGGTGTTTATATGAGCAAGTTTTCTCAGTTTTTCATAAAAGATTTAGTTCTCAGAATGTGGAGATGTAGAAGGCATGTACTAAGGTGAGAACATCCTTGAATAACAAATGAAGAAAACTCTGCCCCTCCTCTAGAACTGATAGCAAGGCAACTGTTGACTGAAATTTTCCTCGGTTGATTTTTGAAGATGTTGAGACAATGGAAAAAGATATTTGTGTAAGAAAGAAAGCTGTCATAAATTAGTGCATAGATCAGATTTGGACCTAAGATCACTGACCTGCATATTATTTTAAAACAAGTGGAGATTCAGCTTAAGTTCTGATTCTCAGAATATTTACATGTGGGGGACTGATAGCATATTTGTTCTGTATCATTTTCATAGTGTCAACAAACTGGATTTGGTTTGGTTTACTTAATTAGTATCATTAATTATGACATTATACATGGATGAAGCCACAAAAATTCCCATATGATCAGCCCATTAGTGGGAAATAAAACCCAGGTAGAACTACCAGTATTCAGTGATTTTACCATTTGTCTGCTGGTGTGTCCTAAAGAGCTGGGTGTACTCCTTATTGAGTAAAAACAATAAAAACTGTGATTTTTTATTTCAGTAGGTGGGTTGTTCATTGTACATTTATTATTTGGTTTAGTTTATTATGGCAAAGCACACTTGGGCTGTCTGCCTAAGGAAAGGGAAGCCTTTGTAGAGGAGTTTCTGAGTTAAAGTGGCTCATATACACATTACACACTGGGAAAACAATGAAAACACTCATGCAGCTAGCCCGTTCATCTGGATTCTAATCCAGGTCTGAACTACCAGAGTTCAGTGATTTTACTGCTTGGCCACTCATGGGCTGTACATTTATTATATATATGGACTCTAGCTTATTAATTTACTCATTGCTCTGATATTTATTTTTTAATGATGTAATGGTAAAATTCCAGTATTATATCCTTATAATTTCAATTTTTATTTTATAGATGATTGTGTAGAAGAACCATGCTTATTGGGATCGAACTGTACTGACTTAGTTAATGACTTCAGATGTGATTGTCCACCAGGATTTACTGGAAAGAGATGTGAGAGAAAGATAGACTTATGTGCTACTAACCCTTGCATTAATGGCATTTGTGTTGACAGGCTGTTTTCCCACGAGTGCATATGTGATCCTGGTTGGACAGGTGTAAGCTGTGAAATGAACATCGATGAATGTGTCAATGATCCTTGTCAAAATGGTAATGAATTTTCTTCTATAAATTTTTAAAAACTCATATATTATATAAAATGTTACACTTCATATAAAAGAATTCAATAACAAAATTGTATCTATAAAGAAGGTAACTAAAAATTTTTAATGAGCAGTAAACTGTAAAGTGCTATAGAAAGAGCTAAAATTCAGGATATTTTATTTTATTGTAACTGGATATGAAAATGAATCTTTCTGTTCACCTCGTCCATTTAATTTCTTTTTACTAAGTTCTTTGCTTGATTATGTATAAAAACAAAAAATTAATTTTCATATTCTAAATTTTTTAAGGGGGCTGCAGGTCTATTTTTAATGCTTTTCTATAATTCAGCATAATAACTATAATAACTAATTTAAAAAAATTATTTTGCTATCTCAGTTATTGAACTTAAAAAACTGAAATTATTATTCACAGTAATTATACACAAAGGGTTTTCCTTAATTAGGAAGTCGTTTGTCCCTTAAAGTTAATTTAGATCTGTTCTTTGAGAAATCTAAATTAATTTTCAGAGGCAAAAAGTTTAGATCATAGAATAGACTAGCAATACTGTCCTATACCTAGACCCTAGACTATACTTTCCATATTACATTACTCTAGTTTTCTATCTTATAAATCTGATCTTCTTATCTGCACATTATTAGATGAATCAGACAAGGTGATAAGATATGTAACAAGTATCAGTTCAGTTCACTGAAGCAAAACAATTAACTTCACATAATTAGATGAATTAGATGAGGTGATAAGATATGCAATAGTTATCAGTTTAGTTCACTGAAGCTAAACAGTTAGTTTTAATATTATCATGAATTATATTCTGCACTGAGTTTTGATAATAATGAATAACAATAGAGAAATGCTGCTAAAAATTAGAAAAAATATCTGAATTCTTTAAGAAATTATATATGTGCACAGTTATTAAAAATGAGATTGTGTTGTTAATAATGTTTATTTTATTGCTATTTTGCTTTCTTTTAATATTATTTGATTTCCAAAGGTGGCCAGTGTATTGACCTTGTAAATGACTATAAATGCATATGTGATGCTGGATATACTGGATCTAAATGTCAGCATGAAGTGGATTCATGTGAATCAGAACCTTGTCAAAATGGTGGAACTTGCATGGACCACTTGGATGGATTTTCATGTTTGTGCCGGCCAGGCTTCGTTGGCTTGCAGTGTGAAGCTGAAGTTGATGAATGTATTAGTGGACCTTGTGATGCTGCTGGAACTGAAAAATGTGTTGACAAGGATAATGGATTTATGTGTCAATGTAACCCTGGTTACACAGGAGAACTTTGTGAGGTATTTATATAATCATTTGTTTTTTGTAATGTTTCAAATTGATAATTAATGTACAATTTGTAATAAAATTATTTTTGATCAACAATTTTAGAAATTTCGTATATTTTACAAAACGTTTTTTGTAAAAAAATACGATTGTTTTCAGTGCATATAGGAAGATAAAAAAATTGATTGAAAATGTTTGCAATACTGTTTTATGTCAATAAAAGACCAGACTGTAATGAAATATGAAATATATTGACTTAAAAATCAATAATATTCAATAGAAGTGAAAATAAAGCAATGGTAAACAGAAGATTAGAGATTATATGACAAAAGCTTTGCTTCAAAATTATGGGAGAGAATTTTATATGAATATTTTATGTGAATATTATGTGAAGTATATATTTATGTAAGGTTCCAAGGTTGCAAATTTTTTAATATATTAATTATTTCTGACTTGTATCACATTATTTTGCATATTGTTTCATATTGATATAATCTAATTTCATCTTTATAATAGTATCTTTGCAATAAAGATTTTGAACTAACTAATGTCTGATTACCTATGTAATTAAGTGAGTGAACATTTCATTATTTTTTCTCAGTACAGGTACAGGCTTACTTGTTTTATTTTTATTTTGAATGGGTATCTTTTCTCTCTTATCTGCTGCTACTTCCTTTCCATCAGAAATATACTGTTAGCTAATAATAAGTATATATACACATAGGCTGACACTTATGTGTATATATACTTATTATTTTTTGAAGTCTAATTGAAAATTAATGATTTATAACATTATCTCAAATACTCAAAGTAATTTCAATATCTTTCTATTCTTTGTCTTTAAAATAAGCAACAGCGCTTGATGACTTGCACATAAAAATTATGTAATTTTTCGTATTTATTTTTTTTATGTGCTTATATGTACAAAGTATTTGAAAAAGTAAATCCTAGACATGTACTTCCAACTCTTAAATTTCTCGAAATAAGATTTAAAAAATTTTTTTTTAGCCTTAAGAATAAAAGATTCTCTAAGTATAAATTGTAATCATAGGTCAAGAAGGCTATTTTATAAAATATTTAGTATGTTTCAATAAGTTAAATGCAAAATATTTCATGCCTTTACATATAAAATTCTTAGAGATATTTCAAAAGACATTTGCTTACTTAGATCATTTGTGCTATAATTAAAAACTTTTGAGCAGATGATCATATCCAGAAGGAAACTGTGAATATCTGTTAGGGAGAAATTGCGAAGCAAAAGTTACTCACTTTGGAAATGAATGACTTCATGCCCAGGGCTGTCTTAAGGAATTCGGCGCCCATGGGCTACTAAAAATAATGCGCCCTTCTTCCTAAGAAAATACACAGAATTGCAAATGGGAGTCGGAAAAGTTATACAAAACAAAAGTGTCAGAACTAGAAAAAAATTATTTATTACTTTTATAATAAACTGTATCTTTATTGTAACTTTTCTTTAAAGTCACTTATTTAAAAGATGGGTATAAATGTTTACCCAGATTGAGGGGATTATCTCAATAATGACAGTTCCGATCATTTTTTAGTCTAATCCTTAGAACTTGATCGGAACTATTATATGATTCTCCATCAGTGCATAATATAAACAAAAATAAAATTTAATTAAAAAAAACCATTTAAGAACAAAAACACACCTTAATCTAAACAATGTAACTTATATATTTACTTTCCTAGCTTTTTCTTGGCAAACTGATCAATAATATCACTAGTATTTAAATTTTCAAATAAATCTCTTTCAATAGACAAAATACTTAAATCATTGAGTTACTCGTCCCAGAGAAGATCGTAAGAATTTTTATTCTTTTGATTGCTGAAATATCTTTCGCCTTTGCAGTTTGTTGTGGCATACTTAAAAATATGCGCAGTGGTTTATGTTTGGAAATGTAGATTCAATTTTAACTCGATTATTGTCTTTAACTAGTTCTGCGATAGATATATTTTCGGTATTTTCCAATAAATTCACATGTTTAAATGTATGCATTCTTCAATAAAGTGTTTTCTAATCATTCTGATATATTTCGCACAACTTTGCAGCATTATTTCTAATTATGTCTTCATTTATATTTTTAAATTAACTAGAACCCAAATTTGAATAAATGTCAACATATGCACATTTTCTCTTTTATACTTCTGCTAGAATTTTATAAATAATAGCATAATATGTTTTATGCGGAATTCGTCATTTCATCAAGTTGCACTTCTTCCGACGTATTTTCGTCGAACTGTCTTTTTCTTTTCCGTAACCGTTTGTATTCATAAAGCCAGATAATTTTATACCTTCTGATTTGTAAGGTTAAACGAATCTATATTCGTTTCGATTGTACAAATTTTTCTAAAGAAGCATAAATGAAACAATGCATTCAATGTAATATCAACTTTTTGAAGCATTATTAGTTTTATTGATGGTTTCCAATTTTCACTCCAAAATGCTATCACAATAGCAGTTTCCAATGAGTTGAACTCATTTAACACCCATGGCTTCAACTTTTGTTGCAGGCTTTTGAAAATTATCTTCGTAAAGTTTAGTTAAAGCATTTTTAAAATTTCATAGCCCGAAACCACTACTTTCACTGAATCAGCTCTTGCTGACCAACGATGTCGCTTAATTTTTTGGAACTTTATTTTTTGCTGTTAGCATGTTTTTAAAATTTCCCATCTTAATGTTGATGCGGCAAGAAATTGTATAAGTTTTGTAGAAACAAAAACAATTTAGTGCTTGTATGCAGCATTCAGCTGCCGATTGTCCAATTAAATTTAAAGAATGTGCCGCACAGGGCACGTAAATGGCAGATTATTTCTAGATTTAATGCATGCTTGGAGGCGTTATATATATACCCGACATATTAGAGGCATTATCATAAGATTGTCCTCTACAATCTTCCAAACTAATATCTAAATCAGATAATAGCTTTAAATCAGTCTTGCATTTCTGAGCTCTTATGGCCAGTATTCTCCAAAATTTTAAAAACCTTTCAACGGGTGTTCCATTTTATTGACATATCTTACGACAATGGTTAATTGATCCATATGGGAAATATTGGTCGTCGAATCTACTATAATAGAGTAATATTTTCCTCTTTTAGTTCCGTGATAATAAACATCTAACATTTCTTCCCAATATTTTAGAAACTCATCACAAATATTTGAGATAAATAAGAAATATCCCGTACCTTTATTGCAAATTAAATATTGTTGTTGCAAAATGGGTCAAACTTTGCTAAGTTCTAAGAACCCTAAATAATTCCCATTATGTTTATCACCAATAGTTTGATTTTCTCCCCTAAAAGCCAAACCCTTGAACTTAAAAATTTTATGACTTCGATGATACGTTCTAAAATATTTTTCCAGTATTCGTATTTTTTTCCATTGATATAATAGAATAATTTTGAAATTTCCCATTTTTCTGTAGATCTTTCACAATTATACGGGTGTTTCTTTATGAAGGGCTGAATTTTCATGGTCCGAATTTTTCACTGTGTTTCCAATCATTAAAACCTGCACTAAAGGATTATTGGCACTACCAAACAGTTTGCAAGGGATGCAATATACTTTTCCTGAAGTATTTGAGTATAAAGCCAGTTTCTTTTTGTGTTTCCGTTTTGTAAACGTCTATAAATATCATTTTTGTAGCATACCTGCTCTGTGATTTGTAGACCACTTTAGATGCAGAAAAGTCTAGTTCTTGAATATCTACCTCTACGTTATATATGTTCTTCATTATATCTATAATTTTATCTTCGCTTAATCTTCCCCATAATGCTGATCAGTATAATTAACACTCAACATATTACTAAATTCAACTTCATCTAATATTCTCTTCTTGATCTTCTGGCTGGGCTGTTCCATGTTTTGTTGTTCTGGTCCTCTTCTTTTTCTTTCACATTGATGCTGGGCATTATTGTCATACTGTTATGTGATTTTTTCTTTCCCTCTTTGTGTTGCTCATCCTCTGTAATATCCATAGAAAGTGTTTCGCCTTTTTTAAGAAATTGTTAATGTAGGCATTTTTTCCAGACAGCTTTTGCCTCGCCTCTTTCTCTTCTTTTAATTTACGGTTGGCGGAACCAGATAATTTTTTTCGTTATGTTCCATGGTTAGTCTTTCCTACTATGGAATAAAAAATTGTTATAAAATTGTTAAATATGTATATATCATAATTAATTTTAGCTAACGTATACACTAGTGGACAAAAAAAAAAAAAAAACGCATAATAAAAAAATGGCATTTAGCAAGATAATATTTATAATTTTAAAAGGTTAAAAAAAAATGATTTTTTTCTCATTTTATATTTAAAATATATTTACTT